AATGTTAAATTGCTCAATTTCACTGCATATCTCTTCGATTATCAAATATTTAGTTTTTAAACAATATTTCTATTGATTTGCCATCTAAAAAAGATGAGTATGAGTATATAATTTAATTAGTAGTATATCTTCAACATATTGATAATTTTTTTCTTTTGAAATTCCACAAAATGTGGCTTCCCCCGTCCCCTCGTTCTACAGTCGACTAAATTTGAGTTATAAAAATAAAAAACAAAAACCATTGATGCCGCTTTGGTCAAATTGATGGCGTCCTATCGTAAGACAGCCTTGGTAGAATTTCAAATGGTGGCGCCTTGTGGTTAATTCCTTTTTTCCCTGGTGGCCATCCTGACCCAATCAGCTATCGCCATTTCATGTTGGTTACATATATATACCTGTTTCAAATCATCAACCGTTACACCGGGCAGCAAGTTCGTGCAGGTTCACAGGAGGAAAAGAACGGACATTCATTATTGACTTTTAGACACGATATTGATGCACATTAATTTGATACTACGTTAACTAAAGGTATAAATCAATCATTTGGTTCCAAATTGGTAGAAATGGCAAAAATTATTTTTCTGTAGGTTAATGTTCAGGTTGGTTATTAACAAGACTCTTCTTTTAAGGAAATGGAAAGGCCCTCAAAAAGATTGAAGCCATCACACAGTCAGGAGGATAATGAAAAATCAAGAGTTTGGGGTGGAAATGATAACGGAGGTTGTTCCTCTAACGAAACCATGCACTCAGTCAACAATAAGCCAGAGAAGACATTGTCAGATTCGACAAGTCCGTGGCAGGGTGTTACAATTAAGAATTTAGTCAAGAAACAAATCTGTCCAGCAATTCAAGTGGAAGTTGTATCAATTCATCCAAGGGGTTTGTTAAAAACTGCAACGGGAAGAGATTACCTTCCGTTTACAGTTGGGGATGCGAGTGGATCGATGACTGTCATGGCCTGGGCAGATCTTGCAGCTCCTCTATCAAGAGTCATTAAAATCGGGCAAATTATAAGAATAATCAAGGGTAACGTGGAAAATGTCCCTGACAATGCTCGTAGCGCTGAACCAGTGTATCGCATGACATTGGGTGCATCTTCCAGTGTCGAAATTCTTCTAGAAAATGGAAAAACTCATTCAGTTGATGCAAATTCTAGTAAAATTTCAGTGCCAATGGAGAATGAGAAGAGAGATGACCCTCCTCCAATGAAAAAACCCTCCATGACTCCTACCAAAGAGTGTAAAATCTCAGATCTAACCTATCCTCACACTCTCGAAATAATCAAATTGCACGTGAAATGCATGGTAACAAATGGGGTGGCATTGACGCCAAAGGGTTTCAAATACGTAGACTTTGTTGGTACTGATGAGACCGGAGATATTAATTGCATAATCTTTGAGCCACATTCTTACACAATCGGTTCGTCTATTCGGGAAGGGGTATATCTGCAAATAGAGAAAGCAATAGTTGAGCCAGTCGAAGAACGATTCCAAACTCACTGCAAAAATAATCATCAGATTAAAGTACTATACAAAGGTCACGTGCAAATTCTGGAAGAAAAGAACAATGAATCAGTAGAAGACGAGATGATGTCAGACAACTTGATGCTAGTAGAAGACCCGGTGATGAAAGTCACAGATTTGAAAGCTCCCCAAATTTGCCAATATATTGAACTCACAGTGAAATCTCTTGAGACAAATTGCCCTTCTGTAGGCCGGAAGGGTTTACGTTTTCGAAGTTTTATTGGAGAAGATAGCACTGGCCTCATTCGTTGCACTATTTTTGAGCCTCACCGTTTTGCTCTAGACGCTGATGCACTGAAAGTTGGTTTACAGCTAGGTCTGAAGAACGCTCTAGTCATTGCTCAAGATATGAGAATTCCCTTTGAGTGTGATAATGATTTAGAGATTATAACGGACGGGTCATCTGCTGTTGCACAATTGGGTATTGGGATGGAAGAAATGGACGACACTTGTTGGTCAATTCGTCTCGAAAATTTCAATGAGTTAGCAAATCAGGCACTCGGTACTTATATTGGTGAGACGATTGCGTAATTAAAAATTCTTCTATATGAAAAGCTAAACCTCCACTCTTGTCACAGTCGGTGGAATTTTCTCGGGAAAATTTTGGAGATATATAAAACATATAAAACATAGAAAATATATAAGATGGTGAAAATTAATTATTTTCAGATGTCGTTGGAGTTATAGGTAAACCAGAGGATAACTGCAAATCCGGACACTCACCTGGTTGTTCTCTTACACTCATCGATGAATCTTCTATCGAGGTAAAAAAAATCAGCATCAGAAGATTTATTTCCTGATTTCAAAAATCATTAATTTCCAGAGAAAATATTTAAAAAGGCGCTTTTGTAATTTTTTAAAATTTTACTCAGACTTTATAATTGCAAAACTCTTTAAAATTGACAATTCATTTTTATTGTCTTTATGTACTGATAGGTGACTTTACTTTTTGAAAATGAGTTGTACGTGGATTCCTCGTGGACAGCTGGGACAATAATCGAAGTAAATAGAGCCTTAGTGGATAGGGGAGAAAACGACCAAATGCAACTTCTTTTCCTTCCCGAACACTCAGTAATAAGAAAATTGGAGCCAAAAGAAGACGCATCACAGGCCAAAGCTGATAGTACCAAGTGATTCTTCGGCCTTATCGATAAGAATGTTTTATTTTTCTAATTTCATTCAAAAATGAGTTTATCATTATTCTTTTGAGCTTAAAAGCGTTTACATTATCTTTTCATTCATCATTACCTATTATTTTATGTTGTATCGTTTATTTTTTTCTGTACCATGCCAGGTGTTAAAATAAAAACTATGTTTACTTTCTAAAGTAGAAAATCACATATGATTAACATATATTATACACAATACAAGTTTAAAAAGCGCAGTCATTAGCCAGTGTGAGGTTTACGTTTACGTATGCGTATTTTTTAAGGTGAGAGAAATCGAGAAAAATAAAAAAACTTTTGACGGATCAATTTATCTTTTTCATTCACACCTGCAAGGACAATGTTATGTAATTAATTCAATAGATCTAATGTTTTATACATTTTTCGATTGATTCTTCCTTTTCCATTGATTTATTGATTTAATCGGAATATTTCAGATTCCTTCTCTATTGTTTTCTCTGCAGTTTTCATTATCGCAATTCAATATATCTGTCATATTCATTATTTTTCAATAATGAAAATTGGAATGAGTACAAAATAGAAAATATATGGCACCAGTTCCCTCTATTGTACACATAAAGGTCTTGTTGGCATCGCTTTTCCGTCTGTTGTGGTTTTCTTGGCAAGGGATTAAGACGTTCACTCCTCGGCTCCTCAATTATCTCCAATTGCCATCAATTAAACCAAACAATACCAAATAAAATCAGTAAACGCCGAAGATTCATTGAAAATTCCCGTGGAGAAAATTCTGCCGGTCCAGTGGATTCCTATTTAAATAAACGAATTAATTAGCATTGATAATTGACGAATAAATCATTGAAATTGTGAACGTGCAAGTGAGAACTCTGGTCAATGGAATTAACCGACATTGTGAGTAATGACACAGAATAATAAACAATTGCTCGCTATTATCACGTGATCTGTATCAAGATCTTTTGTGTAATCAAAAATTGTAATTACGGGGATTTGTATCACGTGTTGTATTCGCTATATTCGAATTAAGTTATGTAATTAATTGGCAGGTAATACATATTCTTCAGAGGTACACGTGCGGTGCCTATGAATAAACATTTATTTTTTTTTGATCATTTACAGAGATATTTTTACGAGGGAATCAATTAAATTGTTAGTCAAGGCGAATTTTTATTATTTTGTCAAACTTTTCAATTTTTTTATCATTGCTATTATTTTTTATAAACAAAATTATTTGTTTCTCTGATTATTATAATGCCAAATTGGGAAAAACGTATCATTTTTGACGAATATCGTCGAAATGTGGGGAGATAGGAAGATTTTCGTCTTGAATTTCTCTGGAATAAAGGTTTTATTGGAAATTTCGTTATGTATCTCCCTTAGCTTCGGAGATATTCACGGTTAATCATCATTTTGTTAGTGAATAAAATTTAATTAGGGAGATTAATTGATGAGTGATTTAATTCGCAGAATTGACTCTCCACTTTTTCAACTGTTGAGTTTAAATTGAGTTTTTTTCCCTGTGTCTTTTTCCTCTCTGGGAAGTGTTGAAAATTCCTGAACAATCGTCATTTGGAATAAATTAAACAGAAAAATGAAATTATTCTACGTTTATTTCGTGTTCTAGATGTTTGTCCCCGGGGGCTATTTAAATTGTTATCGCTGATAATAGCTAGTTATCCCCACTTGACAATTTGAAAGTGGAAAGAAACATTTTCATACTGATAAACAAAACGATTTTACTTCTTCAGTCGATTGGAAATCATGAGGAGACAGATAAGTCCGAGGAAATTAAAAAATCGAGGAATCCACAGCTGACGTATGGAATTGATGACGTACCCCCGTGGTATCTCTGCCTTTTTATGGCAGTTCAGGTGGGGAATCCCCGAAATTCATCAAATCTAAAATTCCCTCACAATAAAAAAAAAATCTTGAATTACTGGCGATAATTGCAGCATTATTTAACGATGATAGGGGCCATCGTCTCCATTCCATTCATCCTCACCCCTGCCCTTTGCATGGCTGAGGATGACCCTTCTCGAAGTTACATTATCTCGACGATGATCTTCGTCACAGGGCTCGTCACACTAGCCCAGACTATTTTTGGATGCAGGTTATTTTTTTTTTTTTTGTAATCGATTTCAATATAAAATAGGGAGAACAATTTTCAATAATAATCGACTAATTGATTATACAATTTCAGACTTCCCTTGGTCCAGGGTGGTACTATATCATTTTTAGTTCCAACCCTAGCTATTCTCAATCTTCCCCAGTGGAAATGTCCACCCGAATCTGAATTGTCAGCGATGAGTTCGGAAGAAAGAACAGAAATGTGGCAAATCCGAATGCGTGAGCTATCAGGTGCGATTGCTGTTTCCGCTTTATTCCAGGTGTTCATTGGATTTTTCGGAATCGTCGGGTACTTGTTGAAATTTATCACTCCCCTGACGATTACCCCGACGGTGGCCCTTGTGGGGCTTTCTCTCTTTGAAAATGCAGCGGAAACTGCCTCTCAGCACTGGGGAATCGCTGGAGGGTAAAAAAATTTGAGAAATTGTCAGTAAATTTTCCCCGAACAAATTAAATTCCATTTTTCATTAGGACAATTCTGATGCTGACACTCTACTCTCAGCTGCTGGTGGAGGTCCAGTGCCCCTTCATCGTCTACAGGAAGGAAGAGGGATTAAAAATCATCTGGTTCTACCTCTTCAAACTGTTTCCAGTGAGTTGTTGAATTTTGTTTATCCAAATCATTGAATTCTCATCGATTCTTGGAGATTCCTTTAGGTACTCTTGACGATTGTCGTCATGTGGATCATCTGCGGGATCTTGACAATTACCGATGCTCTACCTCTCGGCCATCCTGGACGAACAGACACAAAGATCAGAATAATCAGTGACTCTCCGTGGTTCAGGGTGCCATATCCTGGTCAGTGGGGAATCCCCACTGTTTCTCTCTCTGGGGTTCTGGGAATGTTGGCTGGAGTTCTTGCTTGCACTGTCGAATCCATCAGCTATTATCCAACGACATCGAGGATGTGTGGCAAGTGGAATTATTTTTGCGTGTTTAGATTTTTCTGTGAGGATTAAATTTGGATTTTTGGATTGATAGGAGCACCACCACCTCCGGTGCATGCCATCAACCGGGGAATAGCCTTTGAGGGTCTGGGGACGGTTTTGGCTGGGCTCTGGGGCAGTGGAAATGGCACGAATACTTTTGGAGAAAATGTAGGAACCATTGGGGTGACTAAAGTGGGGAGTAGGAGAGTGATACAGTGGGCATGTGTCCTCATGATCCTTCAGGGACTCATCAGTAAATTTGGGGCGGTCTTTATCATCATCCCCGAGCCCATCGTCGGGGGCATATTCTGCGTCATGTTCGGAATGATCTGCGCATTTGGTAAATTGCATTTTTCTCACCCACCTCGTATTGCCTCGTATTGCCTCGTATTGCCTTTTTTCGTCCCACTAGATTTTTTTTCATTAAAGTCCGAATTCTCGACAGGTCTGTCTGCACTTCAATATGTGGATTTGAATTCCTCAAGGAATCTCTACATCCTTGGCTTCTCTATTTTCTTCCCGATGGTGAGCAACATATATGGTAGATCAATTGTCAAGATGGTGTAATTTATTATTACTTATTTCCTCAGGTACTTTCCAAATGGATGATCAAAAATCCAGATGTTATCCAGACTGGCAATGAAGTGGCAAATGGTGTGATAACTGTTCTCCTTAGTACAACGATTCTTGTTGGAGGTGTGACTGGTTGTGTACTCGATAATTTTGTTCCAGGTAAGACCTGGATAATGTTTTTTCCTCTTCAACAACAATATCCCTGCGTGCATGAGTAGAGTAATAAAAATGAGTAAATGTTTTTGACACTTGTTTTATTTACAAGATATTATTAAAATGATGTTCAGGGACGTCCGAAGAGCGAGGACTGGACAAGTGGGCGAATGAAATGGCCCTGAACTTTTCGGAGAGCGCAGAGGACGAGGGAAAAGAACCAGAATATAACACATTTGACTTCCCAATTGGCATGAAATTACTCCGAAGGTCAGAGCGAAAATCTTGAGCCGTAACTCTTTTTACGCGAATATCTTTGAATCGAGGAGAGAGACAAAATTTTTTGTGTTATATCTTCCAGGTGGAAATGGACGTCGTACCTCCCCTTTTCACCCACCTACAAACCCCGAGCGATGACCTGTCGACGCAGAAAGTCCACTTACAACGTCGAGTGATGAAATAAAACCACAAATGCCAATATCTTCAATAAATAATTTTATTTTCTGTACAATTATTTACAATGAGTTGCAGCCTCTCACAAAAATCCATGACCAGCCACAACTGCAGGAATGAAGCCCTCCCTACCATCCCTGGATCTCACCCAGAACCAGTCCTGCATGTGCTCGCTGAGAAGTGCCACCACGTCACCCTTGCACACCGTCATCGAGTCCTTATTCTGGGACGAGTAATCGTTTTGAATTATCAGGAGTGTCTGTCGTGAACCCACTGTCTTAGCATTGGCAGCTGCTCTCAGATACAGACGATCGACACTTCTCTCTCCACAAGCTGAAATTGCACTTCTCGATCCTCTTCGACGTCTTGATGTACGAACTCCGCACTCTGACCTGATGTCCCTGAGTTTCTCTGTATCCGTCATATTTCCTATTATATTTTTTAAAAAACATTTTTTTTCATCAATCCTAACACCTTTTCTCTGTTTCAATGGAATATGCGTTTATTTACCCAATGGCCTGGGGAAGACGTCATTGGTGTTTTCCCAACAAGGACCTCTTGTGGGCTGGAGGATTCCCAGGGGAAGGCAAGCTGAATATCCCACATATCCCTCTTGTCCATGAGGTGTTTGAACGTACAACCAGCTCTCATTCTTGAAAACTGCATTGACAACTGTTCCCAAGGGTAGAGCTATCTCGTCCTGAATTCCTCCCTGAGTCTGATACAACATCGATGTAAAGGATATAACTACTGGAATGTTCGCTGGTTTCTCTATCGACGCCTGCAACCATCAATTAATTACGTCAATTAATTTAATTATAGTAATTAATTATCGTAGATTAAAATTTCATCGGAGTTTTTTTTTTTTTTTTTTTTTTTGAGAGAGAATTACCTTGGTGAGAAACGAATGGAGGTCATTTATTTCATAACCAAATCTGCCATTTCTTCGGGCTTTGTGATTTTTTTTGGTTCTCCGGTGGCGATGTTTCTCATGGACACTCGGTGCTGTTGACTCCCTCAGCACTAAACTCGGCTCGGAAATTGCTCTCTTAACTTTTTCCTTTGTTGCCTCTTTGTTTTCGCTGTAGCACTCGAGGAAGTTCTCCATCTGTCTATTCGCCACTCTCTCCTTCTCCAACGACTACAATCAGCAACATTTAAATATCTCAACATTATTTAAACAACTGCACCTTAAAATCGAAATAATTCATCGTTTACAGCCCCATAAACTGCCTATCATCTCGTTAATGAGTCACTGTAGGAAAAAAAAGTTAAGGAACATTGCTTTTTTATTGCACAGTGAATTCTCGGAAATAACAGATCTAACGATATTCCCTCTAAAACTGTTAATTACCGAGGTAATTCCGGTATAAGTACGACGAAAAATGTAATCGGTGTTGTGTGTGTTGTTTTCGGGGATTTTTACCATTTGGAATTTGTCGATTGCATTTCTGGTAAAATCATTTGATTTTATGGTGTTGTCAGCCTGCGGGGGTGTCTTGGACATCCCAGATTTCTTGGAGGAATGCTGTTGGCCCCGCAGGACCCACGTCAGGGAGATTTTCGGGCGTTGAGGTGCACTTGTCCTCTGGCCCATCGTCGGGGTGAGTTGGGGTCACCCCCGCCGCCAAATCCAATGTTTCCACCGAGGGGTCATTCTCCTTTATAAAATAATAATGAAAAACATTACTTGACGCTTTGATCTCTTAAATTCCCCAGGTGAATCCCTCATTCGTCTCACTGAGAGTGAGAAAAAAAAATTGAATTTAAGGCCCCGCGGGAATAATGCTTAACCCCGTTGAACCTGTGACGATGGTATTTCAAATGGTTTTTTTTTATGCTTCAACCCGGCAATAAGCGCCATGCCAGGGGGCTTAATTATATCTCCTCGGACTACGAATTATCGTACACGCTACGCGAATTTTATCGCACCCAATCCCTCCCCCCTCTTTACTTTCTCATTTGTACCATGACGGGATCGGGCTGGGAATTGATCCCCAGATTCGCCCGAAACAGCGACATTTATCGTTCGATCTGCGGAGAATTCGGATTTTCATAGAGATATAATTATTCCAAGATCGGAGGGATCAAGTGTTATTAAATTTGACGTGCAAACGTCTCAGCTCTTGTTATCCCACTTCAAAGGAATAGTAATCCCTCGAAAACTCCGTGAAACGAAAAAAAGCAACGGAAGTTGCGCACTGGAGGACTATGCGCATGGAGCAATACGATGTGGAGAGTGACATGCACATGTGCATAATTATTTCAACATATTCCTGCACCTCGAATAAATTCTTTCATTTCAATCCACTTGCTATCCGATTTAGCTTATAGGATCACAAAATAATTATCAGTTTTAGAACACCGCAAAATAAATAAAAACTCACTTCTCCAATCCTCACATGAGATCCCCAAAAATTAATTGCTCTCCCCGCCAAAAAAAGTCACCAAAATGGAGGGAAAACCCGGAAATGAAAATAGGAAATATTCAAATTTTTGCTGGATGATTAAAAAAAAAAAATCACGGAAGGTGCAACGAACACCTCGAGGAGTTGAAATAAACTAAGATGTTGGTTCTCGGTGGGATTCCGTTGGATGAGTTGAAAACGGGGGGTGGGTAGTTTCTCCATCCGATCGCCGATTGGTCTCAACATTTCCCGCGCAAATTGTGCGAAACCAATGGCAACCGATCCTCACCACTTTTAATATAATTGCGGGACACAATCCCGTGCTTTACCGAAATGCATGTGGTGGGGATGTGAGATTCTCGGACATCCTCTTTACGAGTTACTTACCATTACATCGGGTACATGAAAATTTACACATTCCATGCACCATTATGTTCTCCACTTTTTGTACGTTATTTTTTTGCATTCTGCGAGAAATTCCTTCTGGAGAAATTCAAATTTCGAGCGAAGCGGAAGGCGTGGATTGAGGGTATAAAAAGGAGAAGACGGGGTGGAAGGAGGGGGAGGGAAGAGGGAAGAGGGAATATATAGGGGAAATGGGGGGAGGGAGGGTCCCGTGACCCTTGACCGGGTGATGGGAACGTGGAAGCCGAAGAATCCGGCCGAAATATCCCGTGCGCCCGGAGCGTGCGACCAGGAGATGCCGATCTTTGAAGAATCTCCACCTTCTCATCTCCTCTACGAACACACGTTAATCCTGCGGTGCTGGTTGCCTCTTTCATTCCACCGCATCCTTTCTCTAGCGAGAATTATCGAAAATTGAATCGTTCCCCCATTCGCTGGCAAATTAAAATCTACTTTGTCTGGGGTATTAATTTTTAATATCTTTAAATCGAGTGGAGAGGGAGAATTTTCGTTATCTCTTGGTTGGAAGGTGGAAGTGGTGGATGTTGTACCTCCCCTTCTCGCCCACCTCCACAGACCTCCACACTACAGACCCCGAGCGATGGCCTGTCGACGCACAACCTCCACTCACAACGTCCAAGAATCAACTAAACCCCAAAATCCCACTCTCGTTAATAAACCATTTTTTTTTTATCCCATATACTGTATTTTCCTCATCCACAATGAGTACCACCTGAATTGTTAACCTGCTCCTCAAAATATCCTCAATATCTCACCAGACCAATGAGAACAAATTAAAAAAAATATATTCCCTCCACTCCTCCACTCGCAAAGTGTTTTAACACCCCGTAAAATTCAAGAGCCAACTATAATCCATATCCACCATTACTCTTAACGGCAAAACATTACGTTGGAATGGGATACGAAGGCATTAGCAACAACGGGCCACTCAATCCCCATTATCCCATCCCCACGCGTTTTCCTCATCTCCCCAAGACTCTTAAATCCCCTCTCCAACTATGTAACACACTGTATCTGCATTCTGATCATTTTTATTTATGTTTTATATCTTTACCCCCTCACAACATAAACATTTCAAAGAGAGATTGTTTTTCCCGGTAAACATCAGCGGTTTGAGCGTCTGATTTGTGCGCTGCAGCACTACGGGCCTAACAAACAGACAAAAACCTGATGAACCGACAGGACTACATATAAATTTATTTAAAAAAACCCTGTGAACAATTGCATCATGAAAACATCATCCGGAGTTTTTTTTATTCTTCTATCCAGCTGATGCGCCTTTCTTTTCATTTGCCATTAATGAAAAGTGGATAATGAATTTAGAAAAATTACGCGAGGCGGAGATCGGTTGAGCGTCGGGCATAAATCATACCCCGAGTGTGAGTGGGAGGTACGACTTCATGTCGACTGTATCATAAATTAAACGGGAATATGTTTTATTGTCGGGTAATTGTGCATGAAATGAGGGAATTTGCTGGTTGCGTTGAGAGTCGTGGAAGAACGGTCGGGGCCTATTGTTTGTCATGATGAAGAGCTTCTTCGGAATTTATTCTTTGGAATTAATGAGAGAATTTTTATACTGCACTCAGCCATGAGTTTCCGCGTCGAAAACATTCAAGAATTTTTTCCTCAATTCGATTTTCGTGGTGAGTGCTTTGTTGACGGATTCCGCGAGGAGTTGAACCTGATTGAAGGGTGGGAAGGGCATGCCCTCGAGTTGATACACGTAGACACCTCCAGCGATGTCGGCAACCACCAGCTGATCTCCACAGCTGGTGAACTCTAGGGCGCAAAGTCGTGCACCGGGTGTGAGGGTGCGAGAGGATGGCTTGTAGGTCCTCCTCTTGATATCCCAAATGGATATTTCGTTGTCAGCACAGGTCGCCAGGATCGTGGAGTTCTTGGGGCTCCACGCGGCCGCCCTGACGCACGACATCCTCGTGGAGAGGGTGATGAGTGGCTCGGTGATGCTCTCCGCCCAGATTCTCGCGGTCCAGTCTGCACCGCAGGTCAGGAATAATTTCGAGATGAACGGAGAGAATTGCAGGGCGTAGATCGGTCCGTCGTGCGCCAGAAAACTGTCCACGTGGTGGTCGAGGTAATTTATAGAGCACGTGTGGACGCAGCCCTCGTCGGTGCCCACCAAGTAGTGGTCCAGCTTGTCAGGGTGACGTCGGAGGATCACTGCTCCTGGATTTCGTGTGATCGATATGTCCACCTTCTCGCAGAAATCTCTCCGGGCTACTCCTGGGATCTCGGCTTCGATCCGCGGGATGCGCATCATCTCTGTGGAGGTGAAGTCCTCGTGGCTGGGGTAGCGCAGGATTCGTCCGTCTTGGGTTGTCGTGTAGATTTCCTCAACAGAGTCCAGGTGGTCATCATCCTGCCACCATTGGACTTGCCAATGAGGGGAGAATAATCGAAGTTTGTCGCTGGAACAAGTTGGATGGCATGTAGCGCCGCGAAATAGCGGGGTTTCCATAGGGCGAATGAAAACTCATTTTCTATTATAATAATTATTTTATTATAATTGATATTTACGTTTTGCTGTCTCTCAAAATAGCTAGGAGTCGGCTGCTAACATCAATGACCCTGAGACTGCCGTCATAGAATCCGACGGCCAATTGGTTTGGCTTGGATCGACTCCAGTCGAGATCAGCGACCGCGGATTCAAACCGATAGGTTCTGTCGGGCTGGCTCGGATTCTTCATGCACCAGATAAGGAGAAGGCCGTCACTGGCAGTCTTCCTCGAACCATACCCAACGGCCAGGATGTTGGAGTTGGTGTAATTCCACCTGAAGGCAGTCACCGGACGATCCGTGGTTTCCGAACAGGAATGTATCCACAGGAGATCCAAAGAGTAGGTGAACGTCAGCTCCAGACTGCAGGGATCACTCCTCAAGAGTCCCTTGAACCTCTTCTGCGGGATAACGAAGAGATTGCTGGCTATTATCCTCTCCATTATCTGAAGGGCATCTTTGAAGGAAGATTTCTCGTAGATGATGGCGAGTTGGGTTTCGGCGTTGGGAGGCGTTGAGGTCAGTGAGAGTTTCGGCAGCTTTGTCCTGTCCTTTGAAAAATGGAGATCAAATGAATATTCATTTAAAAAAAAATGCATCTCCACGTGAATCCCTCACCGGTGTTTCCTTCACCCTCTGACCGCCCTCCAACTCCACGTAAGTGTCATGGATGACCCAATTATTGACGAAAGTCCCCTGATTCATCCTCTTCTCCCTCCCCCGGTGCGTCGACCTTGACTTGAGATGAATCCTTCGCGTCTGGGTCTCAGCATCCGCCAATTTTCGCTTCGGGCCACCCTCTCTAGTGAGCATCTCATACCTCTCGTTCTCCTCTTTCACTCCCTGACCTTCTGGAGTGTCCAGGTCTGCCGTCAATTGGGGCATCTCAAAGAGGATCATTGTCTCCGTTTCCCTCAGGACGATCGTCACGGTATCCGGGAATTTGGTCGATGGATCCTCGAATCTTGGGAGAGAGAACGGCGAGGGAGCGCGCGACTCGCCAGGAAGTGACTGAATCTCTTGTGTTGCTATTAGGCTCTCCATTGTCTCGTCGAGGGGAGGAATTACCGTTGTGTGCAGTGGGGATGATTTCTGAAGGGGAAATTGGAGAATTGATTGATTCCTGTGAAATTCAAGTTGTTGAAATGATTTTAAATAATTTTTTGACTTAACTATAGATAGACTGGAGCGAAATCCCGCGGAGCTCAAGGACATCATGGATTCACTTCCGGTCTTGAGATTTCCGATTGCGTCGTACGCTGTCAATACGTTTTCCTTGATGGTCGCGTAAAACCGATGGGTTAGAAGCTTTGGAGTCATGTCTAATCCATTATCGAGGATTTTCAGATGTTGACGTTGCTGAACCACCGAAATTGAGGGCTTTTGGGGTTTGGGTTTAGAAGGCCGTTGGCTCGACATCCTGTTAGAGACTGATCCCCTTTTCTGGGCCATGTTTGATCAATATTATTTATTCAATAATTCACATCCGCTCCATTAACTCTCCCTTATGCTATTGATAAATTGTAGATTAAATTCTAGTGCAAAAAATCGAAAGTTGAGTTGACTTCAATTGACTTGAATCAAATAAATTTTTGCTATTCGTAGTATAGTGTAGTGATATTTTTTGTATTTGAAATCTTGAAAGCATCCTCACATTCACCTTTTTTATCACCAATCGATAACCCTTGTGAGCTCCGATAAGGCAGATCTCGCATGATTAATAACCGCCTACACCTGTGACCCCTGAAAGGCCCCTGTGTCCTGCAGGAACCCCTGAAAAATATCCCTGTGAATGTCTGGCTGTGGTGCTGGGGCCCACGAAAACATCGTAAAAACAGGTGAAAATTGGGATAAATCCATGAAAAAGCTCTGACGATAGTCAATGAACTTTGGCCACGTAATCCTGCGTTGACGAGGTCGAGGGGCGAGGAGATACACCAGAGATCGACGCAAAAGGCATTAGTGTGGGTTTCCCCTCGAGCTGTGGACGTCAGTGATAATAGTCTCGTGCCTCGATAACTACTTTTCTTGACACCTGTTTTTCTCGAATATTCCTCATAAATTCGAGAGCTTGGAAACGAATATTCGTAGATTACTGTGAGTGAAATAATTCAGTACAATTTTTACACCATTATCCTGGCATTTAAGTCATTTTTTTTTCTCCTGGAGGGGAACTGCCATCGTAATGACCCAGTGAACAACCGGAGGGGGAAACGCTGTCAAATTCAATGACGACTCGAAAAATCAGAAGTTCATTTTAACAGTCTGCCAGTTTTCAGGGAATATCTCGTGATTGGGGGGAGATTGCGGAATTTTTCTTACAACCAACGAAAAATTGTGGTATGTTCGATGGGTTTATAGATATCCTGGAAGAACTCCAAAGGCTGATGGTGTGAGATTTTCATAGTTGTCCTGTTTTGGGGGGATATCTCGGCATCTGGTTATAAGGTTAATTGCTGTGTTTTTGGCAAATTTGGTAGGTATTTTATCATATGGTAGGCAATAGTCCGGAGTGATGATGACTTGACAGGGGGGGATTTGACAGGATTTCGACGGATTTTCGCTATTTTCGGGCCTTATTGGAGGTTTTTTTCAGTTGGGAGAGACGATGGGGACCGTCGAGGAACAGCCAGGACCTTCCAAGCCCACAGATTTTGCTAATAAGGAGAAGGAGAAGGACGACAGGATGTTCGAGTGCAATATTTGTCTGGATACTGCCAAGGATGCTGTTGTCAGCATGTGTGGACATTTGTTTTGGTGAGTTTCATTAAAATTTTTTAAGAGATTGAAGGTTCTGCTGAGAACACCAAGGATTGTGACGATCTTTATTATGGACATATTTCTTTATCATAATTGGTTTCTGGATGTATACCGTGCTTTATTTCTGCATTTATTTATAACAGAACTGAATAAAATTGTTCTCGTACTCAGAAATCTCAAATTAAATCTCCTCTCTTTTTCTCTCTCTCTCTCTCGCTCTCTCAAAAATTCAACCCTAGATTGGAAAAGATATAATCATTTTTTTTTCCAGCTACATATGTTGTATTCGGTCTGGGGCAAATATGAGAGAGTGGCGTGATGTAAAAAAAAAAAAAATAGGTGAATATTTATGGAGTTGGGAGTAAGGGGCAAGACGTGATATCCATTTTTCCTTATCTCCAGCATTTTATAAGATATTTATCGTTGCATGGAGTGTTGCAGGAAATTAATCTCCATTTTCGATTGGTCAATCTTTTAAATGAATCGACATGCTGACATTTCATGGGTCAATATTGCAAAACGGCTCACAACAATAAAACCCGATAGTTTTCTAAATGATTTTTAAATTTTGAGTGCATTACCGAGATAATAGCGAAAATAGGGAGACTATTTTTCCCACTTCTGGGAATTTCCATTTTTTTTTCTTCCCGATTGAGACATTTTATTCAAGTGAGAATTTTTTTTTTTCGGATTTTCTCGAGTATAGTTGGCCGTGCCTTCATCAATGGTTGGAAACAAGACCAGCAAGACAGGTGTGTCCAGTTTGCAAAGCAGCAATTAGCAAAGAAAAAGTTATTCCACTTTATGGAAGGGGTGCAGCTAAACAGGAGGATCCAAGGTAATTAGCTATTAATTAATTATTGATTATCTACGTGAGTAATTAATGGGATATAATTGATGTCTTCCCACAGAAATAACGTTCCACCTCGTCCAGTGGGTCAGAGGACAGAGCCAGAAGGTGGAACTACGTTTTCTGGTCTAGGCTTTGGGGACGGAGGATTTCACATGTCCTTCGGCATCGGAGGATATCCCTTTGCTTTCTTCACGTCGACCTTCAACTTTGGAGAGACTCGACCCAGTGCTGGTGAGAGGGCATTTATTTAAATAATCTTGTGCACGTGGAGAAATAATTCTATAAATAAATTCTCCTGTGTTCTAGTACCCAGAGGTACTCCCCAGTTCGAGGATGACGTCTTTATCTCCAAAATTTTCCTCTGGCTTGCGATAATCTTCATTGGTTGGCTCCTAATGGCGTAACAAAATCTTCCTCCCCCAATTAAAATCCACTATAATACACTCATCATCAAATGTGTAATCCCAACAATTTCATAAAGATATACCCAATCGATTTGCGAGATGATCAGCTGTATATATCCGAGGTATTTAAGGTCTAGGGAGATAATTAAATAGTACACTCCCATCTCCCAACTCTAGCTTTAAGAATAATTCTAATATAAATCAGTTTTACTCGTTGGAGAATATCCATTAATTACGTCATGGGTTTATGTACATACATAACTAATTGTTGACATCCTGAACTACTCGTTTTATTTATCATCCAGGTAATGAACTTGAGTAACAAAATCACCATAATTGCGACTTCAATTAAATAAATTAATTCATGTATTTCGAGATGTGAAAATTTTTAGAATTTTCCGCTTTAATAATGGAATAAAGAATTTAAAAAAAAAATGAAATGGAAAGTATTGAGATGTGAGATTGAATGACTTTATTGTGCAATTTCATTTGTCTATAAAATAAAATATAAAAACATTTCAATTGAATTGTTGGTGAGAAGATGGAAGGAATTATTTGTATTTTTAAGTTGATTTAGATCTCGTCTTTGGATCGTTTGTTTCGAGGGAAACCCTTCGCCTGGAGGAGATCGTTGCATTCCTCTCTGGTGAGTCTCGACAGCTGCAAACGTTCGACTTCTTCGTTGTTATTATCGTAGAGGACGAGCTCAGGAACTGCTCCCTGGATGTGTTTGAATTCCGTTCGATCACTACATTTTTATTGATGAGGAAATTATTATAAATACCCAATTATCTCATTAAACTGAGCTTTGGTTTTTTAATATCATCCAAATAATTAAATATTTCCAAGGATTTCATGAAAATAATTATTAAAAGGATACTAGAGTGGCAGATCTTCGAAGATGAATTGCTTGACGTCAGGAAGACGTTTCAGTGAACAACCAGAGCAGCTCTGAAACAAAAAAATTAAATGATCCATCCCCGTAACCTTAAACTCCAAAAACTTAACACCCGATTAACCAACTGATAAACAACAATAATCACCTCAACAACTGCACGAACATAAGCACTTCCACTTGCAGAAGCTCCTGCAAAAATTCCGAGAAGAACCACAAAGCAAATCACCTTCATTGCAATTTTTTATTCGAATTTTTTGGCAGCCAAATATCTCACGTTCGAACGATTATTTCACTTTTGGAGTCTAGACCAATGACCAATCACAATCCTTAGTCTGTGACGCGGATGACGCCACAACCAAAAGGCAGACAAACGTGGAGCAATGGCGTTCTCCTGTGCAAGTGAGTTTTCCATTATTTTTCCTATTTCCCCTCTAATAAATCATTTTTTCCCATCTATTTCTGTCAATTCCACGATTTCCATGATTTTTATAGATGAAAAATTGCAAAACACCTGGTTTGGTATTGGTGGCATTTTTCCCACCGGTGGATGGATAACCTAAAACAGCGTCTGAGTAATTTAAATACTCTGGAAATTCTGTATTGGGATATTTATTTTTCAAATTTTCATATGCTGATTTATTTATTTATTTTTTTCCAGTCTCAAACGAAGTTCCGGAGCATCCAGTCATTTCACCGGTGTCTGGTTGTATTTTTGAGAAGAGATTGATTGAGAAATATATTATTGACAATGGAGTGGATCCGATAAACGGGAAAGAGCTAACAATCGAACAATTGATCGAAGTAAATGTGAGTCCAACAGTGAAACCAAAGCCACCAAGTGCCACGTCAATCCCAGCCATTCTAAAGATCTTTCAAGACGAATGGGATGCCCAGATGCTCCATGTGTTTACCGTACGTCAGCAGCTGCAGACCTGCAGACAAGAGCTGTCTCATTCTCTTTATCAGCATGATGCAGCATGCAGAGTAATCGCAAGACTCACCAAGGAGTTGACAGCAGCGAGGGAGGCATTGGCGACGTTGAAGCCGCAGGCTGGTATTGCTCCGACAGCCATACCTCAGCCAGCAGTGGCTGTTGAGGCTGGTGGTGGTGCTGTTCAACCTACTGAACAAGCTGGAATCACCGAAGATGTAATCCAGATACTCCAGGAGCGGGCAACTGTACTCACCCAGGAGAGAAAACGAAGGGGCAGGTCCATACCTGAGGACCTCCTGCCTGCTGAGAGCATCAGGAACTTCCAGACACTCGCTTCACACCCTGGTCTCCACAGTGCATCCGTCCCTGGAATTCTTGCTCTGGATATTCATGGGGCTGACACGAGCAAAATATTGACTGGTGGGGCTGATAAAAATGCCACTGTCTTCAATAAAGACACTGAACAGGTGGTTGCGATTCTCAAGGGACACACCAAGAAAGTAACTCGTGTTATTTATCATCCTGATGAGGATGTCGTTATGACTGCCTCGCCGGACTCGACTATCCGAATTTGGAACGTGGCCACTAGTCAGACTACTCTGTTGTTGAGGGCTCATGATGCTCCAGTCACTGGATTGTCTCTTCATCCAACTGGCGATTATCTTCTAAGTTCTTCTCTTGATCAGCACTGGGCTTTCTCCGATATTAGAACTGGAAGACTTCTTACTAAAGTCGCTGGTCCAGGGAGTCAGCCCCTGACAACTGCTCAATTCCATCCCGATGGTTTGATTTTTGGAACTGGAACTCAAGACTCTCAGGTGAAAATCTGGGATTTGAAGGAACAATCGAATGTCGCTAATTTCCCTGGACACTCTGGACCGATTTCAGCTATTAGTTTCTCAGAGAATGGATATTATCTAGCAACAGCTGCTGAGGATTGCTGCGTCAAGCTGTGGGATTTGAGAAAACTCAAGAATTTCAAGACTCTGCAGTTGGATGAGAGCTACGAGGTGAAGGATCTGTGCTTCGACCAGAGTGGAACTTATCTCGCTGTTGCTGGCTCTGACGTCAGGTACATTTTCTCTTCATTTTTTTATTATTGTCTTTAATTCTTTTAACGTAAAGCTGCGAAATTCGAGAGGTGAATGATCAATCGGAAATGGCAATTGAATTTCTGAGGCAAAAAATTTATTTTCATTATCGAGATGAATGGGAGAATTAATCAACACAAAATTTCGTTTAGCCTAGAATTTGGTAATTCAAATGACTAATTATTATTTATTATTTATTGATGGCAGGGTTTATTTATGCAAACAATGGCAAGAGCTGAAGGTTCTGAATGATCACACAGCCACTGCCACCGGTGTGAGATTTGGTAGGCATGCACAATACTTGGCTTCCACCAGTATGGACAGGACACTCAAACTTTATGGACTTCCTTAGAATTAAATCATCGTCTTGCATTCTCGTATTTTTTCATGTATTTCCCTCTCGTATTAAGGACCACAATGAAAATAACAAGAATAATAACTGAATAAACCTCATTTTAATAATTGCTTTTTACATAAAAAAAAAAAATTGTTTCCGCCACCTCAGCTCCTTAATTACAAAAATAATTAAATTATTCCATTTGATATTTCTCTTAATCAATGTTTTTGCTAGTTAATAATAATAAATAACAGGTAATTAATTACGTTTCTACTGTGTGCGGCAGTTTATTAATCGTTAAGTTAATGATTAATCTACAATTGCAATTTCGGAAATTGCGAAATCAATCAGCGATCCCAACTTATTTATTTACTTTGCAAAATTGATTTTTTACGACGTTATAACATAGAGTAGAAAAAAAACCTGAAATACTTGACCATTTTCTACTAATTTGGGACAGGCAAAATGAGATTCAATTCAGTGAGAATGAAATGAAAATTCTTTCCATTTTTATTTCCATATCTTTCTTTGTTCAAATTTACACAATTATCTATACAACGATATATTATTATTCTATTTATATACACTCGACGTCGATCTTTGTTCTTAAACTTTACAAACTTACGTACAGATTTATATTTGTAGATCATCTACAATTCTTAATTAGATATCTAGAAATATTTTAATTATAATTTTTTTCATCGGTTTTCCACTCGTTTTTGTATTAAACTAAGCACCTTAGGTACAAATTATAGTTCACTTTTCACAGCCATACGAAGAATTTGCTTTCCTTCAGTGAACAGAAAAAAACAGAAGTATTTGAGTGATGATAACTGATAATTCACAGGATTGGAACAATTATTTGCATTTGTTTCCTCAGTGTTAAGGTGTTTCTTCTTTTGAAGAAAAAAAATTGTGGAATTGTTATAACGAATTGATTTTCGTTCGGTTGTCGAGAAAAAACGTAGATTTATAAAATGAAAAAAAAAAAAAAAAACAATATTATTGTATCGGCGAATTCAAAACACGTTTTTTTGCTCGTCGGCCTTTGAAAGTAAAAATTCAATTTTTATTTTGGTTTGATGAAATAATAAATGGCCCGTGTCGGTAAAAATAAAGAGAAATATTGAACGAAACTATACATTTTCGGTAACTGTAAATCATGTACATAAAAATTGCACTTAACTAGTCGTTGTTCCTTGATAAAAACAATAATTGTCGGGGAATTTTCACAGCTGTGGAATATTCAGTGGCTGAAGAGAGAATTTCGTTTAATTTTTCAGACGAATTTCGTTCAGCTACAAATGCTATTAATTAATTCCTGAATAATTTTTGTAATGAGGGGGAAAAATCATTTATTCTACCTCTCCGCCACTGATTTATGTATTCTTATTCGATAGTAATAAATATCTAAAGAAAATTTCGAGTTCCAATATGAATTCTCAATAAATAAGAGATGGGGTAAAATGGACGCGGAGTTTTTTTTTTTTTCCAAGGTTAAAACAAATTGTTGTCAATTAATAATTTCCTGAAGTTCGAGTATTTAAATAAGTCTGAAGTGTCCAATCTCCCCCAAAATTCAAGATTCAGCCAGTGAGAATACCCCGAGTAAAATGGCAACAAAAGAATTTAATTATTTGTTAATGATGCTCTCATCATTCTAAAAATTACTTCTGCCAATTGAATTATTATCGGAATAAAATTTTGGTATTTTCGTCTGAAATCGATTGTTTTCCAGATAAATCGATAAATCGATAATGAAAAATGTTGAATTCGATTTATATTTATTGCTTGACTATATATGTATAATATGAAGATTCCCTTGGCAGAAATAATGTTTATTGCAGTTGAATTCGCGGTGAAGTCCACATTGAATTGATGAAACGATTAAAGCAGGTTTTTCTTTGCTGACCAGTTTTCGCTGTATATCTTAGAATCCAAGGCAATTATAAAAAATAGGAGATATTTTTAGGAAACCTCCAAAGTCCACCTGATTTATTAATCATTGAATTGAAATTTTCCGCGATTCAGACAATGCTCTCCCTTTCCCCCTGCAATTCATACCCCGCAATGACTCCCCTCCTGATAGAAACTTCACTACTCCTCAGGCCATTTCCATTAAAAAGATTAACTAACCAACTCCTGATGGAATTCCGGGCAGAACTCTTTTTATCAGGCACCCCATCGCCAACATTGCTCACCACATGATCCAACGATCTCCACCTCTTGACACACCCCAGTCCCTCCCCCTCACTCGTTCCCGTGTCATCATTAGCCAGAAGAGGTGTATTCACCTCCTCCTGGAAATTATCCTTGTGAATGACATCACCATTTGGATAATTATTATTAAGAATTCTCAGATTTTCCTTGGAATTCGTCCACTTGTCGCAATTCTCGAGTGATCGAAAGCTCTTTTTTGGCTCCTTCCACCGCAATTGGAGTGATTCACGTTGGCAATCAATGGGAAATGGATCGAGGGATTTTGATTCACGAATTATTGTTGATGGATAATCCGATGTTGTTGATGATGAGGCAATTGTTGATAAAACACGAGCATTTTTCTTAAATTTCTGCTTGCCCTCGAGAAAGAGATCGTCAAGGGCGAGTTTTATGTTGGCAGCGCGAATCTCCGCTTCTTCGCTGACTGTTACGTTGTCTAGGGTTGTTTTTGAGAGGCTGTCGATGAGGTAAAGGGGATTTCGATCAAGCTTTCCGTGGCGATGGTGACGAGGTTGTGGACTTGAATTTCCACACTGGGATGCTGAATCGTCTGGGCTTGGACGGGGTACTGCGCTTGTACGACGAGAACCTGCACCTAGACCACCCAGGAGGGAGGGCTGACGTGAGTCGGGATTGAGTTTTGGGCTGCGTCGGGGACGGCAGAACAGCGGTGGTAAGTCGTCCACATCCACCTCTCGCTTCTGGATGGCCTTCTCATTGGCCCCAACCAGCCAATAAGTCTTAACATCGCCCTTTCCCTTCATATGAACGAGTCCCCTATCCTCAATAATGTATCCACCGATTTTATCTAGTGCCTCTTTGCACTGGGCACTGATGTGAATTCTCAGGGCTTCACCATTAGATTCCATTCTCGATGCTGTATTGACAGTGTCACCGAATAGACAGTATCTTGGCATTGTTAGGCCAACAACACCAGCTACCACTGAACCAGTGTGAATTCCTATTCTCAATTTTAGGGTTTCGTGGGGCCTGTGGGCTATTGTGTGTTGTTTAACAGCATTGAGAAGCTCAAGAGCCATCGATGCTATCTCACCTGCATGCCTGTTACCATTTTTTATTGGTAATCCTGATACTACCATGTATGCATCACCAATAGTCTCAACTTTGTAGACGTCGTAGCCCTTTATTATTCGATCGAATACCGTGTAGAGATCGTTGAGAAAATTAACGACTTGGAAGGGTGTGCTTTCAGCGGACATGGCTGTGAAACCCACTATATCGCTGAAGTAGATTGTCACGAGGTCGAATGCCTCAGGCTCGACACCTATTCCATTGGTCAGACAATTCGCCACGGGCTCTGGCAGCATTCGGTGCAGCAGATCCTCTGTTTTTTGCTTTTCCTCGTTGAGAAGACGCGTTCTCTCAATGACTAGATCTTCGAGATTATTGGCGTATGTCTCCATCATATCCATCATACGATCCATTATATTTCCCTTTTTACCGGCCTTCATCTTGGCTAATCTTGTTCTGATCATTTTAAAATCTGGTCTCAACTCTGGACTCTCTGACCAGCAATCGGTTATCGTACTGACGATGTAATCAGCGCAATCAGTCTCTGATTCCAAGAGAATGTCGATATTTGGTCGAAAGGGTAGTTCACCGTCCTCTGGATATCGCTTCACTCGATCGATTATTTCTTTGGGCTCTAGGTTGACTCCACCGTAGGGACCCTTTCTCCCTATCATCTCGAAGAGAATTATGGCGAATGAGTAGATATCACCCTCTTGGGTGCCCCTTATCGGAGCATTGGGATTCCTCAACAATTCCGGCGCCTTCCAGAACAGATTTCGATAATACTGGTGTTCACCGATACTGTCGGACTCGGCGCAGTGTCTCATATCGTGAAGACCAAAATCAGATACTTGTAGAGACCATCGTGATGTTACGACACAATTTGACGATTTGAGATTACCGTGGCAGACTAGCACTGAAGATTCGTGAATATACAGCATACCCTTAATGAGATCATGGATTAATGCCGCAATGAACATATCGTCTAATTTTATATCCTCGTTTTCAATTATGTCCTGAAAGTCATATGAAAAAATTCATATTTATGAAAAATCGACAAGAATATTCGGAATTTTATGCTATTTAGAGAGTGATTATATTTAACTCACGTAAAGACTTCCTTTGGCACAATAATCGCTAATTAATAGTATTCTCATAGGCTCGACGCAAGCACCGATGAATGAATTAAGATTTCCATGTCTCAATTCACGTAGTGTTCGCATTTCCTTCATTACATCCCTTGATATGTCTTTTTTTTTTGAAAATTTTAATTCTTTTATTCGCACTACAACACCGTGATAGTGTCCAGTCTGGGCAAACACTTGGCCACCGCACCTTGACTCGTATGACATTGCGCTAACTAAGCTTAACTGTGGGAAATCAATAAAATTTTTATTAAACGTGCAATCGTAATTAGAGACCCATTCTTTTTTGGTGAATATTCAATTAAATGGCTGAATAAAAAAACTCACTTTACTAGGTGATGACATGAGATTATCCAGGTGTGGATATCCATGAATTTCACTAGGATCGATTTTCCAGAGGAGACCCTCTATTTCCTGTTCAATTTTCCATCTCCTGTAAATACTCATCGTTATTACAGCAGCACAAAATAATAGAACAGCTAGAATTCCAGCAGCTACGATGCTGCGAAGATGTGTGTCATCTTTGGGACAGTGTTCATTCAGAAAGCCACAGCCTGGCTCAGCCTCTGGTTTATTCTTCCCTGGCCATTCCATGGACTCTGATGGTCTGTACACCTGTCGCCAATTCAGGCAAAAAGGCAAATCAATTATTTACACATTTTCACATGGCGAATTGTTGTTTTTTTTTTTTTTTTTCTTTCGGTTTAACTCCAACTCACTCACTAGAGTTTCACCCTGTTGAAACTGGCCGACTGGCTTCATCTGGAACTCACAGCTCAAATTTACTTGGGTAAAGTGATCCTTCTTCAGAGCGAGAACCGAAAAATTACCCTCGGAATCACCCGCTTTGTCCAGCTTTATCGTTTGTCCGCTCACACCTGGGCAATGGTTTTTTTTTTTTTTTTTTTTTTTTTGAGGGAGATGTAGAATTTTTGATAATTTTCTCTAGATTCCGAGATATTAATAAGAGATGAATACTTACTCTGATAGGTATGTCTCTTGATGATTGTCTCGATGATGAGGGTACCATTGCTGACAATCTCATCGAGACTGCTCTCAGGCTGATCTCTGATCAGCTGATCAAGGGCAGTGGCATAAAGTTTAACCGAATCATAGAGATATGCAGCGTGAATGGAGACATACTTCTCGTACTTCATGAGCAAATCAGGAACAGAAAAATTAAATGGCTCTTTTGACGTGTAATCACTGACTTTTTTAGTGAATTCCTCGTAATTCTGAGTTGGTGGGCTGGATGTTACAACCATTAATGATCTAGCACGCTTGAGAAAATCCTTAGGCTCAAGGCAATTGTTCAATTTATCGTAATCCTCGGGCTTCCATAAGTACTTTTTCGCCTCTCTCGGTGAATATGTCATCATGTCAACGTGTATGACCATGTACTCACCGTCGTCAAATAATCTCTGATTCTGCATTGCAGTCATTAATTCGATGAGTGATAGGGGTGTACCGAGAAATATGTATATGCGTGTCATGTTCTTAGTCTCTTGGATCAACTGGAACCAAACCCCCACGTGACAACAGGGCAAACGATCCTCGCAACATGTGTGACGATCTTCAACGGTCTTGTAGTGATTCACCGTGAGGTTGTTCTTGGCAGCCTGATACTCCAGGGATTTTGCCACTGTTGTCCACGCACTCTCGGTTATTATCGTGAATTTGTTCCAACCGTAATGCAACAGTAGGGCTATCAGTGACTTGGTTACCTGTGTGTCCGGTGGCTCTGTACGGGCGAATGTCGGCACTTTAGACGCTTTGTAGTCGGAGCATTTCTGAAAATATTCAAGTCCACGTGGGTATTTAATAAAACAATTCATATATTGAATTGTCAAGAATCGAAGAGATATAAGATATGTGACATTGGGAAGATTGAGCAAGATTGAAGAAGATTGAAGTATATTGTGCACCAAGGCGAAGCCGAAAGGGTGGTCGATGATTTGGGGCGATGGGGGTGATGAAGGATAAAAATTACGAGGGCGTGGTGCATTGGGGTGCATTGGGGTGCATTGGTCATTGATCATTGGTCATTGGTCATTGCCGGCTAACTGACTGGCGTTATTCCTGGCCGGCGGTCGGCTATATTTAGACGAGACCACCTTGAGAGAGTTGTACCGGTGTGTGTGGGGAACTCTCCGACGTGCAACGCGTTGTGCAACTATTGCAGTTCAAACTGACAAGATGGGCAAACGCATTGTGCAGATTGGAAAAAAAAAAAAGAATAATTCATTTTCTCCGCGGGCTCGATGAAAATTCGACGGAGGAACTTGTCCTCTACTTTTCACTGGAGTTCTTTTTTAGTGAAAATCATCAATATTTATCGGGTATTTGAAAGATCATTGATTGATTGATTGATTGATTGATTGATCGATGGCAACCGATAATTCATCATTCCTCGAGTTTTTTTTTGCGGCTATTTGGGAACCGGGGGGCATTTTGGGGAGTTTGTTTACCGATTTTTTTTGCAATAGGAGCAAATTAAAGGAAATTCTACATTTTTAATTGGAAAAGAATTTCTAGTTTTGCTATATAAATGAGATAAAAAAAAAAAAAGAAAAATGGAAAAAAGGAATAATAGCCTAGGAGTGGAATCGCGCAGTCTACGGTGAATGTTCACCGATCAGTGAGTTTACACGTGACAAAGTAAGACAGAGTTAGCGAGAAGAACCTCTTCCCTCTCTCCACTTTATATTTAATGGTAATGGTAATAGATGGGATGGTGGAGAGTAAAGAGGGCGGGTAGGAGGAGTGCGGAAAGGGGGTGATGGTGGAGGAGGAAGGAGAGCAACAGGCATTCGAGAATTCAACCGACCACATACACATGTTAACTACAAATACTATGAAAGGGGCTTTCATTTATTCGTAAATCAACAGCAGTTGATACTATTTATAGACGCACGGGACAAATAGCGATAGTCTCGACTGCTTGCGTATATCCTTGAATGGCAAAATCCCACATGGAAATAAAATTCTTGAATATTTCCCGGATTGTTTGCCATTTTCTTCAATTTTCTTCAATTTTTTCCATTTTTAATTTTTGAGTTTTGAGATTTCATATTGGGGGAGGGAGGCTTTAGAATGTTCGCAAGGTTGGCAAATCGACAAACTATTTTCTCAGGAAATGAAGATTTTTCTCTTTTTCAATGGGATTTTTTAATTTTTTTTTAAATCTATCGATAAAATTCATTTATCTTATAGTTTACCGTAAGTAAATGAAATATTCACATTAGTTTTATTCACCTCTATTAGAGCATTAATTCTCAAAGCCCGTTTTTTTTTTTTTATCACGAATTCGTTATCTACTCAATGACATCAAACCCCGAGGTTTACATTCCCTCTAATTGCTGGGATTAAGATAATGAGAAAAAAACGAGTGATTGACTGAACGTATTGTTTTTTTAAATCTATCTGTCTTTTTTGGATAAATAAAAATTAGTTTGAAAAGTTGTGGTGTGAGAGAATGAGAATGTGGTGGCTGTTAGTCGATGCGAACTTTCACGTAGGTGGGATGGATGCCAGGTGGTCAGGACGTGTTCACCAACAAAGATATATATGCCCCTTTCCTCTCCCCCCTTGCCCTGCCTGCGTTATTGCCCCAGGGATCAAAATGACTTGAGGAAAAATGAGACAACTGGAATTTTTCGTCTATTCTAGTTCAATCCAATTTTGTTTTTCGAGTGTCTCTGGCGATTTTCGATTGTGTAGGATTAAAATGATTTAGAAAATAGTTTTAGAGTTTTGGAGGGATTGAGGCTTTTGACGAATTTTTTGGAGGAGATATCGAGTGATTTTTGGCCAATCTGTCATCAGATTTCAGGTAATTGTCTTATGCCAATAGAAAGTTCTGTTCTATGTTCATTTTTTTAGTCTAGGATTTTTTTTACTGAGATCTCAGAGTTGTTCTTGGGATAGAAAAGGAAATGAGAAACCTCGCCCTCGTGAGGAATTCGAAGGAGTTGGATGTTGATTTGATCGAGGTTAAAATACTCATGAAATAATTATGTTTGGGGGAGAAACACGTGGGACATTTTATCTTGAAAATTTTCCACTCTACATTTTTGTCCCACCATTTTTTCAATAGAACCCATATTTACCGAGATATACAGCAAGACTTAAAAATTTTAGAATGTCAAGTGAGGGATAACATTGAATCATAATTAATCTGACTCGTACACCATTTATCATCTTAAATGGTGAATTTTCAGGGGAAATACATAAAACATTTTCTCTCCACAATTTTCCCTTATCCATTTTTTATTTCATCTATTTTTTTCGTAGAACCGATATTGGCTGAGATATGGGGCAATATGTGAAATAGATAATTAAAAATTTGGGAATTTAATCGAGTTCTCGCTGATTTATTTGTTTCTCTTCGGGGGATGATAATGTTCCGTGGGACTTGCGGGGTGGTCCAGGAGAGACTGAGATTCACCAAGATAATGACGATACAAAGGGGGGACCCTTTGGGCCTGGCGTAACGTCATAGGTGCCCCCGTGGGAGTCACCGTGACCGTGAAAATGAGGTAGGTAGAGAGGTACCACCCGGGCCTATACGTGGGAAAGAAATTTATATTCGATCGAGTATCGATAATTTAATAAAAAAAAAAAAAATTCTTCAAATTTCTGCGGGCAAATTTTAGACTTATCATTACAAGTTCCACTGATTACTTCCCCTGCACATTGGAAAACTTGAGTATGTGGCGTTGTGGTACAACACTAGCTGCCACTGTTTATCGGATCTATATTTAGACACGGCTATTGCTTTTTAAATGAGAGGTGGCATGAAAGACCCATGGGCCCATGAGGCCCATGAGGAGTGACAATTATTTCCTTTGTCTTTTGGGAGAATTGTAGAATTATGAAAGGAAGGGTAATGCGCTGATTGAAGTAGTGGGCAGGTTTTTCGGGGATATCTCGGAATCTCAGGCAGATGGTCAAATTTTGTACTGAAACTTTTTTCTAGCTCGGATTCCTCTCTAAAAAAGAGTACCCGAGGAAAATTTTCATATTTCTCTTGGTTTCGGAGAAATTTTTGACAAACTCGATTGGGGAAGGAATGTAAAACTAGCCAGTCAAGTGGAAAACGGTAAAGGACTTTTCTCCAACTCGTTGAATTTTCGAAAAAATTGGTTGTTTCATTTTTTATGCTAAAATCAATACCTTCCGCCATTAATTAACTCACTCGCTCATCTTCACTCGCTATTGCCGCAAATCCTGGCTGCAATTTCAATTACAAGGTACTCTCACCCAAAAATTTTTCCCACACCACCCTTAAAAAATCCTCATTAATTACTTTCTCAATCCCACACATATACTTTTGGAAGACCACCGGTGGTCGGAAAAGAGTGAAAGGTAGGGGAAGACCAAATAAAACGAAATTAAAAGAAAAAAAAGTGAGCAGCAACCAAAACAAAAACAGGAATAAAAAGAGTGGAGGCCGAGGGGGAGAGGAAGAATAAATGAGTGGCGAATCCCTGAAGAAATCCCACGGTGTCCGTGAGGTTATGCCTTCGACCACCCCGGCACCACTCTTTTACCTTCCCCCTTTCTTTTCTTTTCTTTTATCCCCCCTCTCTTCACAAGCCATTTTGCCTCCCCCTGCCGCCCCCGCCGACCCCTTCATTTCATATATAATTCTGTCTCACTTGGGTACGAAAACCCGTAGGATATAACGAAAAAGAGAAGAATAAATGAATAAATGGAAAAAAAAAATGATGAGAAAAAAATTAAGGGGGCGAAGGAGGAGGTGGTGGAGGTGGTGGAGGTGGAGGAGGTGGAGGAGGTGGAGGAGGAGGAGGGGGAAAGAAGGTAGGAAGGATAACGGCGTCGAACTGGCTCGCTAACTGGCGGTCTTTATCTCGGATATATTTAGACCCCGGCACGATCGCTCCGAGCGACCGGTCCCAACAGAACCGATCTCTTTGGTTGTGTATAAGAGAAGAAGAGAATCCCACGGTGTCCGGTATGGTCCACCCATGGGGGCTACCACCATGCTCGCCTGCTTGCCGCCGTACGCCCTTCATTCGACGCAACTAACGTATATAGGCCCTTGTTTGTTATTGTTTTATTGTCATCGAGGGACAGGGGTGGTATTTTTTATCACTGGTTCTTTTGCTATTCTTGGCGTGGACCCCGGTACATCGGTCAAGTATACACCAATCCAGGGGATTACTTCAATTTTAATAGATTTGAAAACGTATTAGAATGAAAATCTTTATTTCTTTGACAGGTCATTAATTATTACCAATTATTACGGATAAACCAATAAAGTCTCTATTTTCCTGGAAATCTAGTAATAATTGAAATTTTTCATAATCATCAATGAAAAAGTCATTTGTTTTCCATCACATTTTCAATACCGTATCGAAAGAGGAAATAACCGTTCACCTATTCCTGAATAATGAATTACCTCATTCCATGAACAAGAACAAAACAACACCTAATCGCATCAACTTGTCGTCAACTAAAAAAACCACAAGTTGCGTTGAAACCTAATGTCACGCTCTAAATATAGATTTCAAACCAACTCGTTGTCAGGCATTTAATCTGAGCCTCATGAATTTTTCCCGCCGACGAGGAGAAAAAAATGGAGTAAAAGAGAGAGAGAGAAAAAAAAAAGTCAACAGTTGGAACGAAAAAATTCTGAAAGTGAATTGAATTAGTACTGGGGATTCTTCAGTGAGTTGACTCTTCCTATTAGCGCAAATGAATGCGCGTCACTTTGCCCCAATTGAGTAGCTTAATTGAACGTATTTTAGGACTCACGCAAGACACTTTCGTGATGAATATTTTTACTTGCTTTTAGAATTGAAATAATCGAATTCATGGACCGTACCATTTGTCAACCGCCAAACAATCGCGAATTATAATATCGCGTAAGTGAACGTTTGTATCATCGGCAATGGAGGGAGAGTACTGGAGGCATTCGTTTTTGCTGTCAAGATTCTTCATACATCCCTATGGATGAATGAACAATCGTTTGTGCTAGTTTCTCCATGATTTGTTCATCTTCATCATTGGACATTTGGGAGGTAAACATTCGATTATTTTCATTAGTTTCCATGATAATAAAAAAATTTCAACCTCAAAGGCAAACCTAATTTGACGATCTATTGACGAGATGTCTCACCAATTGGCCATGTTGAAACGAGGGATTTTAATAATTGACTGTTCATTAATCAACTCACATAACTGATCATGGGTATATTCCTCGATTGTGCTACGATGGCTTCAACGTAGCACGAGCCTTCAGGACCAAAAAATGCAGCAACACCCTCGCAAATCATGTCAATCATTGCTTTTGTTGCCTCAACTGTCTCTCCCCGTGTGTCATTCCACCGCATCACCAATTGCACGTCTGGCAGAATGTTTGGATCATTATTAATCTGAAAACAAATAGAAAAATTTTATTGGGCTCGCTTAGGCTCGTCTCCAACGATATCTAGATAGTTTTGTGAAAATTCTTGTGAAAAGAAAGTTTTGAAAATTGCAATGCATCTTTATTGCTTTTTTTTTTCCCTCGTAGCCACGAATTGCGTAGAGGGAGTTTCGCGATTTCTTCTCACGCTCTTCGGGGTTTTGGGCGTGGGCGGACCGGCAGAAGCGAAACTGAAGTCAAATGGGAAAAAAAAAAAAAAACATTACATGAAGTCGAATGAAGCGGAAACTGACAATTTATACTTCATGATAAAGTCGATCGAAATAAAGCGATACAATAAACTTAACATTCCCTGATTTCTCAATTAATTGCAAGAGAGAGGGTGGAAGGGTGGTCAGAGGCGTGTGCGCGGGTATGTATGTGAATTATACACAATTGAAAATTGAATTTCAAGTTGAAAAATATGAAGAACGAGTTAAAACATTTTCCATGGAAGTTTGAGAGCACAGGAGGAGTGAGAAAGCCACGAAATGTAAATTACCATCGTGTGAGAACGTAACAACCCAGTGGTGGAGACGCTCGTGCCGCCAAAGACTGTTGTTTGTGTGTATATAAAAACTCCATTCGAGGTAAAACACCAAAGAAGAGAGTAAAAACGAAAAGAGGGAAGAAGAGAGAGGAAAAATGGTGGAAAAAAAGGCGTCAAATTGAAAAGACAATAGGGTCTCCTATTCAGCCACTAAAGGGCGAATAATTAATTGGAGATTCAAGTTTTTAAAACATAGTAGCTGGATTTTTCTTGCTCCCCTCACCCTTCTGCACTCGATTTTTGTCTTGTTGCAATGCATTGTCTGGTGGAATTTAGAAATTTGCATAATAACCTACCGGTATAGTGATATCTGTTGAAGGAAGCCGGACGTAACGGGTGAGTCGGCGGGAAAATACGTTGGAATTACTGTGTGTGCTATATCGCGATACCTCAAGTTATACACAAATCACAAAGTAGTAATAAAGTAATAATTAAAAGTACAAACCTCATCGAGGGCCATTGATATAGCCCCAGATATGGCAAGCCCCTGTCTATCCTTGAGTCCACCTTTTATAGCTGTTAAATATCCAATAGTCAAGTTTCTGGGCTTTCTAGTTGCCCGTTCGAGTGACGATGATTTTGCTGTACCACCGTGATCAATTATTCTCGTTTCCATATGATTCAACTGATTGTATGACGTCTCAATGAGTGCGAGACAGGGAGCCGACACGAGTAGCAGTAGGAACAAGATCGCCCACGTGTTAACGCGTCCAATATCGCCTAGAATCCGGTGTCGATGATGACGATTACTTGTTATGTTGTACGGATGGTGATGGTGATGGTGATGGTGGTGGTAGTAGTAGTGGTGGTGGTGGTGGTGGTGGTGGTAGTGGTGGTAGTGGTGGTGGTGGTGGTGTTGGTAGTGGTGGTGGTGCTGGCGACGGGCAGGCCTGCGACGGCTCGGTGATGGCGGGCCGGGGCGCATGGCCGCCGCCGCCACCGCTCAGCGCCTCCCTCCCCGCTCACCTAATATTTATTTACTTTAGTATCTTCAATATAAATAAATAGCATCTCATTTGCAGTGGAGATAAGTTAATTGTATTAGCGGGCTCGGGATATCATTTTTGGGGCCATTTCTCACGTTTTGCTGCGGTTTTACCAACATTACCCATTTCTATGCGAATGAAGGGGAGCAATAATGGCGAGCTGTACAGAGTAAAGTATCGACAAACTCACAGAACTTTACTCTTTTTTTCTAAATTAAATTTAAAAAAAAAAAACAATCAAAATAACTCATTGATTTTTTATTTTTTACTTGAGGTTATAGTAAAGTAAAGATCCAAGTCAAACACCAGAACGGAAAAATTCTGGAAAATTTGGTGTCTGGTGTGAGCAAGTGTCGGGATAAAGAAGTCAGTGAACATTAGATCTCTCATGTGTCGCAATTAGATCGGTAATTAAGACGACATGGGCGTGTGCACGAGCGGCTCTTTCGTGGTCACGCCCTTATTTGTCAAGTTAAATTGCCACGAACCTATTTTTCAGGCTGCGAGGGGCACCAAGATTGACCCATATCTACAAGTGACTCTTAACAGTCAATAATTAACCATCTCACTGACGATTTTGTCGATTTTTTCCATTGAATGATTGCACAAGTTTTTAACAGACCCATATCTCATCACCGGCCGGAAATATTTATTGGAAAAGAGGAGACAAAATGCAAAAAATACCCATAGGTTTACGGCACTCGGCACTTGGTAATTTTTTTTTTTTTTCTCAGACTTGAGATAAAAAAATCGATAATTTTTTCGACAAATGTTGCGAAATGTTTTGACACTATATTGTGCTAAACATAATCACGGGATGGTTATGAGAATTTTCTTGTTCACGGCGAAAACATCTGTAAATTGGGTTTCTTTTTTTTTAATCATTCACGGAGGAGTTGGGGAATTAGTCACGGATTGTCAGAGTGATTACAGTATTTATTTATCGCTAAGTAGGGGAAAGGTGGAGGTTGTGGTTGTACACCTGCAGCAGTCCGTGGTTTTGGTTTCATGGAGATACGTCATTTCATTTAAATGTCCATTTGAATTTCTTAGCGTTTCAAATTACCGACTAATTTATATTTAATATTAATTCAATATTTAGCACTTGCAATTACATACGTATTTAGGCCTATTCATTAATTTAATTTGTTGTTTTCAAAACAATTGTTTATTTTTTTTCAAATTTATCGAGGACAAGAGCATGATTCACTCGTATACAATGATCCATTTTACTTATTGATTTATTCCGATGGATAATTGATGGATTATCAGATACAATAAACCCGATAAAAAGTAAATAAATAATATTTAAGAAGTGGAAAATACTGAGAGGGCATCGTGTGTTTTGCGGTTCCATGGCGGACGTGAATTGAGATAACAACTTTAAAATAGTACGAGCGCGATAAGACGTGTTTATAATATCCGCCGAGACTCTCCGCACTGACATTTCATTCTTCTCTTTTTATATTATTTTTTTTGTTTACTCTCTTCAATTTTTATTTGCCTAATGTATTCAGCGGTACATGTGCACGATTCCAACGCATGAATTTGTCTCGCATTATTTACGTTTATTATTGCCGCAATTTAAGGTTTAAATTTTCACTGTGGAGATGCAGTAAAGTGGAGAAAATAAAAATAAAAAGAAAAAGAGAGAAAAATTAATGGGTCGGATTTCCTATATTTAAATGAATATCTCTGAGGATAATTTTTCCATCGAAATTTCTCGACTCCGACACTTGAATATGATAAGTATGAAGAAGAAAAAATTACGCAACACCGTCTGCAGTTTCACTCGAAAATCCATGAATTATGGATGGGGAGGTCTTTTTTTTTTATTTAATATCGCGATAGGTGCGTGAAATAAATCCATCTTAATAATAAATTACCTAAACAACATTGGAAATTGGTATCGGTAAGAAGATGCTTGGATTTTCACTTCTATTTTACTGTCATATCTTGGACAGTATCGGCGATCATTTGAAATCGCGTACGACTGCGACCACCTGGAACAAAATAATTGGGGATAATCATTTCTCAAATGAGTCAATCTCATTTTATCACTTACCATCTCAATTATATATGATATCAATGTGAGGCATTCAATTTTTTCGCCGAAATCTATATATATATATATATATATATATATTTATATATGTGCCTGTGATTAATCTATATTTTTAACAATTGCTCTATCTCCCACGCGTACACAAATATTTAAAAAATATCACGCGAGGCGGAAAGCGAAATTGGAGGAAAATCCATTAATCCATTAATTTCCAGATGATTTTTATTTCATTCTAATGTAAATAGCCCGCCTTCTAATTTTACACTCACGTGCATGAAAGGATGAAGGCGCCCACTGGTGATTAAAGGACGTGCCGAAAGCGCATGCGGAGAGAAAAAAGAAATAATGTGAAAAAATGAATAAATAAAAGGGCGAGGGGCGAGGGGCGAGGGGAGAGGTGAGGTGGGGTTGTGAAAACAAGAGAAAACAAAAATACGAGCTTTATAAGCCGCGGATCGCGTGCGGGTGTAGGCATCACACTGCTCCCCACCTCCTCATCTTCATCCTCATTCTCATCCTCATTCTCATCCTCATCTTGCCCCCTCCCCCACGCTCCAAATGATCCTAAAACGTGGAAGGAACTGCGGAAGCACCGAAACACTCATCCGTCAATGAAAATGAGCCGCAGTGATTCGCGAAAAAGAAAAGGAATATTTAAAACGAAGCACAAATATCTTTTACACTGGCTCGTGGGTTTTATTTTTACTTTTTTTTTTTATTCCTCTCGCGGTTTTTTTTTTTAAGTCGAGTGCACGCGCGTCCGAGTGTTACATTCATTTTCGCGCGACCACCGGAGCGTGCGAACCCAAGATCCTGCCAACTCTCTCGGGGGAGATCGATGATCCATACCGGTTTTCGAATTAATTTTTTTCCTTTTTTTTTTCCACTTTTTTTCTATTCTTTCGATTTTTTTCTCGTAAGGGATTGAAAGATGAGACAGAGTTGTAAATTATGAAACTACCTCAATTGAATTTTCTAACATTTTTTGTTTTTCTTTTTGTTTTTGTTTTTTTTTTGTTTCATACGACAAAATATTGAATTTAGCGAGTGGAGTGAAATTTTTCATCGAATTGGTAATGGTTAATTGTGCAATTATCGTGGTAATGAGTGATCTGAGGAGAAATGCTGTTGGATCTTTCTTGTTGGTCGTAAAATTGTGGTGAAAATATATTCCCAGACGTATATTGGTAAAACCACTGGTTACCGAGATAATTCCAGTCTCACCGTTGCCCGAAAAATCTACTCGCATGATTTAACCACTTGACTCCCAGTATTTTTCCGTCTCATTCTCAACCTCAGAATAAAATAGACACTTGTTTTCATTATCCCCAGTGTTTGGTACCTTTGGAGAAGAGTTGGACTCTGGGGATTAAAATAGACTAGTCTCTGGCGCAGTTAGATGTACAGTACAAACTGTTATTCACTCGTTTCGATTTTTAACTCTTTTTCAAATTCACTTTAGCCTGTTTCTCTCTGTTTGTACTTTATACATTTATTTTTATTTTTATTTTTTTTTCAAGTAATCTCGGGAGACACTTGACACACTGAATCGATACGCATCGACATCACACTGATCCCGAGATAAAAGACCACTTAAATCACCACTTTCACATGTCGAACTGTTGAATATCAATTTTGTTTATTGTGTGATTTGTGGGGGAATAGAGGGCCAGAACTATTTGTTATTTGCAATTTCAATATTTTTTCAAGATCTTGTTCTATTTGCACATCCGGGAGAACGGCATGTTGGGAAAAATCAGGTTTGAGGGAAATTTCAGGTTTAGTTTGTTAAGAAAAAAATATTCGCCAGCACGATGGAATTGGGCGAAGGTCTTGGTAAATGTTTAATCGTAATCGAGGACAGGCCAGGTCCTCCTTGAGGTTTTTTTAAAAACATCGCCGCTCTTTTTATGCACTTGTTGCCATTTTCGGTTTTTCTATAATTTATTATATAGGATTCTTTGGGTAAAACATGATTTAATCAAAATTATTGATGAACATAAATTTCTATTACGTGTGTTCTATCAATTTTTATTCTCTCTTTTTTTAATATCGTTTTATTTTTTTTTCTTTAAATTCTCTTGGCTTGAACGCTGTCCACATGTTAATTATTTTGTCCTCTCATTTCTTGTGATAACGACTCGTTGTTTGCGTAAAACGTCGAAAATAATTTTGTATTCGACGACTTCGTTACGTCTATTTTAAAAATTTTATTTGAAGCATTAATATTAATTAATATTAATAAATGATAGCAGTGAGCAAGTTGTGGCAAATTAATATCCATAAATTAGAATAAGAAGAAATTAATGACTAGTTTTGATGGTAATTAATCAAGTGTTGGTAAATATTGAATTAGTATCTTGACATTTTTGGTAAGGGGGAATTTAATTTGAGACGTGATAATTGGATGAGAAAATTTCGTTGTGATTTTCCATTACGAGAAAAGGAAATAGTTGTCAATTCTTTTGTTCAATGAATTCTCACATTATTTTTCATAAATTTATTATTGCATACTAATAATTTATATTGCTTATTGGGGAGGAAACAATCAGTAGTGAAAACATAAAAATGATAAAGACATACAGTCAACAAATTATTCAAATAATCAACAAATTTTTTGCAGTTAAACCTAACAAATCATTGCTTATCATTACCCAGGTTTCAAATAAATCAATTAATCATGGAATATTTTTTGTCCATAACAGCGACAAAAAAAAAATATGGCAAAACAATGTCCAATCAATTTGCCAAATCCAGCAACAATAACGAACTTGAGAATGGAGAGGAAAAAAAAACTTTGATGGCAAGTCAGAGACTAATAATACCCATGACTCAGCCACGAAAATTTTCCAGTTTATTTTTCACTGAGATTATTCCACTCGATGTACAACAAATCCATTCTCATTACCAAATGAGTTAACAATTGATATTATTCTGAAAATATTCACCTGAAACTCGTGGCCACATCTAGCATCGTAATCCCAAGTATCTCAATACCATTTAATTATCCTCAGCCATAATCACTCGTGATTGAATTTCACAACATCACAGAGATAAATAAATAAGAAAATAGAAATAAAAATAAAAATTGGAATTATTAAAATCCAGGAATTACCACGAGTGGATAAATCCAATGTTCTCTAATTTCTTCTTGAATTTGTCAATTTTTCAATATGTCAAAATTATTTTCGATGGTTGAATTTAAAATAAAAATGAATAAAAAAAAAAGACACAGATACTGGCGGACGCCCTGCACTCGAACGATCGACGACGCACTTTACTCTCTATTTGACTTTTATTATTTTCATCTCCCTCTCACTCTGGCCTGTTTAATTTATTTCTCTTTTTGTTCAAATATTTCCCGCCGCCGAGGGCCACCCGGGATAATTCAAATTGTACCGATTGCACTAGAACTGGTTGCACTGATCACTGAGAAAATTCGGGGAAAAATTTGGGATTTTCTCGGGCGAGATGACGAATTTGTCTGGATTTTATTTATTTATTTGTAATTTTAATGGGCACTTGCGGTAGCTGGAGGTCTCGGGTGATGGATGAGACTGGAATTTTTAGTAAATTTTTTTATAACGACTTGTGGTGAAAATTTAGTGGATTATTTGTGATGGAATCTGCGTGGATGATCGCAAGACGAGGGCCGCGAAGTTACTGAGGGAACACATGATTTTCTGGGGGGGAATTAGTACTCTGGGATATTCCTAGGGGGCGACATGTCGGGTAAAGTCGCGTGACATCGGGAGGTATCGGAGATCGAAGATCGCGCCGCGTCGATTTACTGTTCGAAGTTGGTGATCGATTTTACACTGGTGTTCAGTGACCAATATCTCGAGAACCATTGGACCTACCTAAAAATTGACTGAACATAAATTATGAGGATTTTTTCAACGAATATTTTTTCTCCCTATCATTTTTCTTGTGGGGGCCATATATGCAGAGATAGGAGGGTTCGATGGAATTGTTGTTCGGGAAAATGGGCGTGTTTATCGGGAGGATTAATTGGAAGGACTTTGGTTTTTTCGTGTCTAGGGTGGGAGTAGGGAATTTTTAATAATGGATTATCTTGGATCGGTTATAAATCGATCGGCAATAATGTGATGAGGGGAAAAATAATTTAATTGTCTCGGGAATTATTTTCTTTTCCAGCTGATTTGCATTAAAACAGAGAGTTGCAGTAGTGTGTTTCGATAACGTCACAATCCGTGTATACCCCATCGGTCTAGTAATTTAATAATTAGACGGAGTCAGCAAAATTCAACATCAGTGATTGGAAATTAGCGGGATAATTTCAGGAATGTGGAGAAAAATCATTAAAATTCTGCAGTTATAACTATGTCATGATTGACAGGGGGAATAATTATTGCGGAATTGATTTTGGTAATTAATTGTGGAATAATGCCACAAACGGTGGAAATGAATTTTTAGATGTTTTTTTTCTTCTCCCTCACTCTAATATCTTTCCTCTCATTTAAATCCATTCGACGTTGATGGTAAAGAGACTTATCTTATCAGACAGACTCGGGCGCAGTGTCAACATGATTCGTGAGTCGTTACAGTTTGCAAGCCAACTGGAGTACAAAAATTTCATAAATCAATCACGCGCAAAAAAAAAAAGAACAAAAACCAAACCAAATCAAATTAAGAAGCTGATATTGCTCTATTTATATCACACGTTGGAGAATTTTATAAATAAACTGTTAACTATGTTATGTAAAATAATTACCTATTGCCAGATTGATGCAGAGGATCATTCGATGGAAATCCGTCTGGTGATTTGAATGTAAAAGAAAAAAATTGTGTGAATAAATGGGTCGGTGGGTTGTGGAAAGGTTGACTCCTCGGTGTTATTTTTAGGTTTGCCTCGAAACGCTAAAACAAAAAGAGTCGTATTTTTCATTACGTTGAAGAAAAAAGGTCAAGGACTATTTTTCTTACTTGAAATATTTTTAGAAATGGGTGATATTGCTTCCATAAAATCAAAAAGACAATTATCGCAACTCGGTGTATGCCATCTACTGATTATTATATATATAGACATATATATATTTTTTTTTAATAATAAAATAATTGTTTGCGCTAGGGGGAGAGGATTGGAATGGAAAAAAAAATTCAATCAACCTGTACAAATGATACTTCAAGTGTCTCTCACCCGCTTCATCATGATCTTCATTTTATCCCGTCGTTGTAGACAATGACAGAGGTTTCAGCATGACTCGTTATACGATAATCGTCAGCCTGACGTCAAATATCAAATGATTTCGCAGCGTGAATCGGTACTGACTCTTTCAATTGTAACCAACCGTTGTCCCTAGATTGAATGATGGTTGGTTGTCGAGGCTAAGTTGGCCGACAACCACTTCACCATAAATAAGACGGCACGCCACTTACCATACAACTTTTTTACATTGTATTCGTTGATTATTTATGATTTCTTTCGGACATGTCCATGACTCTTTCTGGTATCCAAGGGCTCGAGGCCCTCTCTTCATAACATTTTTATTCAATTTTTTTCTTTTTTTTTTTAATTTTTTTTTTTTTTTTAATAAAATTGAAAAATTTTCAAAACCTATCGATTTCAAGAGAAACTATCAAAAGATAAGTTCGATCGTAAATTCAATGAGCCACAAAAGAGTTCCCTAACATTTTCCTCCGAAGTCGAGAGCCATCACCAACTCATGAAATTACAAAGTGTTTGTTTTTTAAAGGAGTTCGATCCAAAAGCTATATTGAAATGATGAGTGAATTTATCAAGAATAGTAATATAGAAGTGTAAAATCTACTTCGTATATATGCGATTACCATTTGAAAAAGCATTGAACGATGGAAAAAAAAAGGGAATTTAATAGATCGTCGTAAGTATTTGTCCCCGTTTATTGTTGTGTCGTGAGGAGAAGTAATCCCGGATGTCGTTGACAACTTCCGGAATGACAAATAGCCGTCACGAGACACCGGCTCGTGAGGCCGATATTTCGTTCGGCTGAAGAAATAATAAATAATCAAATCGATAATAATTGTCATTTATTGAATAAAAATGTGTACAATTCTATTTATTAATCAGGAATGTGGAATATAACTATTCCTAGACCATTGTCGACAGCTTGTTTTTTTAACCACTCCATAGATTCCGATCACTCGACACTCGAGATATCTATCTAATTTGATAATTAATAACGATTAAGCGATAAGCATATCGATATCCTCGATCAATCGTTGGCGGTGTTGATCTTAACATTAATCCTGCGTTTTATATTTTTTTCCTTTCAATACTGGCAATTAAGTACCGACGAATATATTGATAATATTGTGAATTGCTGATAAAATTCATCAGCAGACTAATGACTAGAAAAATTGCTCCACAAGACACGAGCCTTCTGATTGTCATTATGAAATAATCAAATTAATGATTAGTCTAATAGTTAATACTACTGCTAGTTCATCGCAATGGGTTTTTAATACAATTAATTTGATGATGATTATCACTGCCATCATCCGCTCTCATCTAATACTCCGAGACAGCATTGGGTACTATTTGATCATGATTTCAAATGATTTTGAACGATTGCAAGTGATTGAATATGGAATTACGATTACAATTTTATATGAGAGGTGTAGCTTCTCCAGCCATCCCTTCGATAAATCTTCCCTTGACAATATAGCGAGGACTCACCGGAACTGATTTGCATATTTGTGTCACTTCACTGCCATCGAAACATCCCACCCCGAATTCCAATTTCTCAACACAAGGGCAGGAGCTGCTCGATGATCTAGACCCTTCCATGCAGCCCTTGCACGGGCTCCACTCACCAAAGTTGATGATTTTCCCTTTGCTCTGATCCAATTGATCAGAACTGGCAAATCTCAGTCTCTTGGGCGACTCGCTTGAACACCTGAGAAAGCTCATCCTGATGGGTTTGCTCTTGAGAGAGCTCTTAGGCACAAGTGCTCTATCCTGTTGGTCCATTCTCTTTCTATCCTCACCATACAGCCAATAAGTAACACGCTCGCCCTTTCCCTTCATCTCAACTAGCCCTCGCTCCTCCAGATGAAATCCACCGATTTCATCTAGAAGTAACTTTGTCTCGTTGCTGCAGTGAATCTTCAGGGGCAGTCCTGTTGATTCCATCCTGCTCGCGGTATTTACAGTGTCTCCGAAGAGACAATATCTCGGCATCTTCAAGCCAACGACCCCAGCACACACTGGTCCAGAGTGAATGCCAATTCTCAGCTGTAGCTTATCGAATGGTCGATGCCTGATGCTGAACTCCTTGATTTTATCAAGTAAACAGAGTGACATACTGGCGATCTCACCAGCATGCTGTATTCCGTTTCTAATTGGCAGACCGCTGACTACCATGTACGCGTCACCAATGGTCTCCACCTTGTATACGTCGTAGTTCTCGATTGTTGCGTCGAAACACGTGTAGAGATCGTTCAACAGGTCGACCACTTCCAGGGGTGTGCTTTCAGCAGACATGTGGGTGAAGCCAACTATGTCCGAAAAGTAGATTGTAACGCAATCGAAACCCTCGGCCTGCACCTTGTGGCCCTTCTTCAGCTGTTCGGCCACGTACTTTGGTAACATCTCGTACAGTAGTGCATCGGTTTTTTTCTTCTCCTCTGTCAGCTGATCTGTTCGCTCATCGACCAGGGCCTCCAGGTTGTTGGCGTATTTTTCCATCATTGCCATCATGTTGTCGAAGATGTTGGGCTTCATGCCTTTGCGTAATTGTCGTAATTTATTTCTGATTGTCTTGAAGTCTGGACGGAGTTCTGGCTCTTCCGACCAGCACTCCTCGAGGCAGTCACGGACAAAGTCGAAACAGTTCTCCAGGTGCTCCAGTGGCGGTCGGAGGGGTGGCAGTGAGGGGATTGGATTGCATATCTGGGTGAGGAGATGAGTGGGTGGTGAGGCGGTTGGGCCGAAGGGACCTTGCCGACCGTGGAGTTCGTAGAGAACTAGGGAGAATGAGTACGTGTCACCTTTCTGGTAATCACGGGTTAGCGGCGGAGATGCACGGGGTCGTAGCAGCTCGGGCGCACGGTACAGCAGATCTAAGTCAGATAAGTGAAAATTTTGAACCTTGAGTTCAAGGGTTTCAAGCTACATCTCATCGTACAACTCCATCGTACTACACGAATTATGTGAAATTTCCAGTGGGAAATAGAATAATAATATTTATTCCTCTTTTCTTTGGATGCAAAATGGAAAATTTATTATTTTAAAAAATATCTTACTTTGGTATTTTTTGGCAACATCTTGAGGTTCGTAGTCGGCGTCCCTCTTGAACTCCCGTAATCCGAAATCAGCAATTTTAACAACCCATCGGGAATCGACTAGACAATTTGAAGTGGTGAGATTTCCGTGGTACCTAATTACAGATTCGTGGAGGTACATCATCCCCTGGAAATTTTTTAATCTTTATTGATACTTGTGAGAGGGTAATTAATTTATTTATTGGTCAATTCATTGGTTATTACTCTGATGATGTCGCCGACTAGTGATGCCATGAACATGTTGTCCAACTTCATGTCGTCATTTTCTATAATGTCTTTGAGGCTTCCTCTTGCACAGTATTCCACAACTATGCAGATTTTGGGGGGATCTGTGCAGGCCCCGATGAAAGCGTTCAGGTTGTCGTGCCTCAAATCTCTCATCTATTCAGAATTATGAAAGAAGAAGGAGAATTTTTCAAAGTGAAAAATGTTATTGCACATTATAATTAATGGTACTACCACTTTGAGCTCCTTCTTCATTTGCCTAGTGATTTCAATGGATTTCTTTCCAACATTTTTTATAGCAAACATTCTGCCACGGTAGAATCCAATTTGCGTATAGATCATGGAATAACGAAAATCCGCGTCTGGATTTGAACTGAGGGATACCTGACTGGTCCTCACCACTGGCTGGAGAAACAAACAAGTCTTTTAAACCATACTGATACCTTGGGAGTGCACTGGGACTAATTGATACCTTGGTATTTGGCTTCTGCGTGGGCTCACTAACATTACCCTCGTCTCTACTCTCCTTGATCTGTATATCTTTGTAATTGACCTTCCACAGGAGCGAATCCAACTCCTGCTCGTATCTCCAATTTCTGTACAGCACCAGGACAATTGCTATGAGAATTAGGAATATTCCACCGGCAATTCCCCCGACAATCTCACCCGTGTGCGCTGCAAGTCATTAAAATGCTCTACTTTTAAAATGGGCCAAATCTTTCATTAATTACTTTACTTCATTCAATTTTATAACAAAATTGCAATTTTTATAACACTAGCAACGGGATAATGTGTAATGATCATGATGGGCTACACAATAATCACCAATTGGAGTTGATTTCCAGAATTTTCATTTGGTAGTTTAATTCGTCAATTAAAATAAAGATAATATAATGGGAAATATTAATTGGATGAAAAACTCACAATAACATTTTTCCCCGTGATATCCGCAAAGTGGTTCAGCAATGGGTGGAGCCCCGGCGATCCAAGTTATGTCTCTCATAAGATGTAACTTCTGAAATTCGTGGATAAAAAAAATGAAGAAGAAAATTGTGAATCCGGTTGATTTCCGGTTTCTATGCGCAAGTACAGGGGCGTATATGATGGTGAACCATGAAAATGAAATGGTTAACCAATGGGTTTTATGTCGAGCTCACTCCAATGTCACATATAATAAATTTATTGATAAAATTGGATATAGACTCACTGGCAAATTGGACGATTCCTCTTTACCGATAAAGTGTCCTATGGGGTAGAGACCGTGACCTTCTATGGGATTATTTCCCAGGGCAATGAGCGTATAGTTACCCTCTGCATCGCCGTTCTCATCCATGTACACCATGTATCTATATATTTCAGAAGAAGAACATTTTTTTCATCTGAGAAATTAACATATCTTGGAATCGCTGGTGGATAGTGCAAAATTTCATTTCAAAAGAGAAATAAGATAGCAACATCTTCATAAGGATTTTTTTTTTTAAGCTATCATTCATTATCCATTTGCCTTGGGTTTCGGAGTAAAAGTCAAGAAACAGGGGAGTTTACAATTAATGATGAAAATTTTCAAGCCAAAAACTCTCTCTATGATAATATTTACCCGAAAAATAATGGTAAACCCACGGGTAAATGAGGATCTTACCCCATAGCACTGCGATAGTGAACACCATACAGTCTCTCAACCATTTTCCTCCCATCCCTGGGGTCTCGTCCCTCTCTGAGAGCACTGAGTAATGCTCTCGCATAAAGATGTACTGCATCGTAGAGGTATGCCGTCTCCGGTACGATCTTACTCGTTCAAAAAAAAAAAATAAATAAAAATAAATAAATGGAAGACGAGGAGGAAAAAAGTGTTGATTTTCACTCTAACGATTTCGTGTTATTGGAAATTGAAGACCCTCCATTTTGCCCATTGAATTCAATCTAAGAATGTAGTCTATTGAATTAAATCTATTGATTTACCTTGACTAGACCACCGAGGGTTGCTAGGGGATTTGTGAAGTTGAATGGGGGTTTGCCCCGGTATTGGTTTATTATTTGTGTGAAATTCTTGGAGATCCTCGGAGGAGATGCCACAATGCTGAAGTAGCTGCGATGGGCCCGAAGGAGGGAAGGGTTTGCGTGCTCTTGAAGAAGTCCTCTAAGATATTTTGAGGGATGATCCTCGTCGTACTGCTCTATATCCACACCCACCACCCAGTATTCACCTAAATATTATCACGCGAAATATTTCCCATTATTCCCACAACAATTATTTATTTCACATTAAAGATATATTAAAAATCTATGCTGAATATATTTAACATACTAAGCAATATCCCAGTGACAAGTCTTAGAAAGAAATACAACTGGAAGAAAATGGCAAATTAAGATTTCAATTGATTTAGCTGGTACTTATAAAAATAGTTACCATTATTCAATAAATTTTTCTGATCGAGTGCCATCAGCAGTCCCATGTGCTCGTCGTAGTTACCGAGTACAACATAAACTGAAAATATTCAAGATGCCACATGAACCGTAATTTCCACTTTCGCTGGTTGTATCACTTTAAAAAGAAAATTTCAAAAGGCGGCATTTTTATGAATTTTACTTTAATTTTAAAAAATCAAGAACAAATCAAATAAAAAAGAAAAACCTTCGAATCAGCATTTTATATCCAACATCTGCATTTTCTCCTGATTTTAGAAATCAATTGAATTAAATACTGACCGATAAATTTTGTTTTTTTTTTTTACAAAATCGCTCTCTATTTTAGCCTCGAATATGATGAATAGTGGATATAATACTAGGACACGTAGAATGTTCATGAGCTGAATGTTAATGAAACGTACGGTGTACGTGTACAACCGCCATGCGGGACATCTCGATATATTCTAATATTTATTGTCACATGCGGGTTATGTACTACTTAAAATCAATCTATATATATGATAATGATATAGTAATATCATACATTATATTGAATTATATAATGGACCGTCCTCCTTCAATCAAGTCGGATGTTTAGGGACTGTAGGAGCGCCGCTATGATTTTTGATTAGGAGTGAACATATTAGAAAAATTAATTTTTTTACCATAAATATAGGTATGTGTAATAATTAATAGATATTATGAAACACTATTTTAAACACAATTATTTCACAATTGCAGAGAAAAAATACATGATATTTTACCGAATATTTGTCTCTATGGGTATTATTTTATATTATTTATAGACATCTATTATCAACTCACTTCGAGTCTCTCGGAATGATGTCTCGACAAGATGATGAAATGGATTATTCATGTGTGTCACGAGGTAGGGCTCGGCCCAACATCTCTCGTAGGTGACAGATATCCCGGAGGAGCGAAATGATCGGAGAATTGTACTGGCGACACTTGACATCTTATTGTTGAATTCAAATAATGTCGAGTTCATGTACATTAAGGTGACCTAGAATGGGAGGGTGCAAATGGGGCCATTACAAGTAGTGATTTATTGTTTATTGTTTTATATTAATAATTATCCGGTTTTTTTTTTTTTTTTGTTTACTTTACTTTTGTCCAGTTGAATGCCAAAAGTACCGCAACAACGGATTTCGATATCTGCGTGTCGGGTGGACGTGTCCTGGCGAATGTTGGAAACTCTGCATTATTTGAGCTTTCGTGATGTGTGCAAAACTGCAAAATCAACAACGCTTTCTACCAAAAGTTGACCGCTAAAATATACATTACCCCAGGGCGGCAAATGTTAACAAAGAGAACAATAACCAGAATAATTAGCCTGAAATCTTATAGGATTTCCGGTTTCCTCCATTCCGATTTGACCTCCATTAAAGTGCAACTCAGATTAAAATAACGGTGAAGAAAATGCATTTTTGCTTACAAGTGCGGCTAATTGTCACAGGTTTGACAAAAAATAAAATAAAACATTAACTTGCACAACTTGGATTTCGGTGAATTGGGAATTGGGGATTAAATGAGTTTGGAAGAGGTATTAAATTAACGGGGGGACCTTTGAAACTAAAGACTTACGTAAGAAATCATTGGTAAATTGAATGCAGCTGCCATTTTGCCCTCGTGTACACACGTTTCTTGGGGCCCTATATAACCACTGATATTTTTTGTCCAGAGATCAGCGGTCACCAGAATACTCGTGTCTTCTTCTCCATATGTCTCTGCCACGATGAAATCGAGTTTGTGTCCTAGTTTCTTGAGCTCCCCGGCGTTCACCTAATGTAAATCATTTTTTTATTCAATTATTTATCGAAAATATAGGTAAAATATAGGGCAAAATGTTCACTGACAATTGACAATATATTGAAATCATCCATGAAGCGATAATGGAATAATGGAATAATGGAATAATGGAATAATGGTGTTCAACAGGAGACAGTTATACTTACCTCTTCGACAGCGAGATTTATAGCCCCTGAAATCCGGTATCCAGGTCTCTGGTACTCTAGATCCCCCATTCGCCGTTTTGACCCAGTGATATATCCCAATGTAAATGTATCAGCATTAACCAATCCGTAGATTGATATCACCAGGAGACACGCCCTTTTCACGTTAATCAGTCGCATAACCGCGGGAAAATCTAACAATTTGTCCTGATGATTTTTATTTTCCGGCCGAAAAATGATATTTATGAATAACACTCCGTGCTCTCGTTTCAATATTTTGCCTCGTTGAATATTTCATTATATAACAATATTTTTTTTTTCAACCTGGCAACATGGCAACATGTGAATATAAATCGTCTTAATATTGTAAATTTTTTGCAATCCATCAAATGCCAATGAATGTGACATCCCCTGCCAATACCACAGACAACCACCAGACATGTCTCAATCCAGAGTTCACAATCACTCACTTATTGAATTCAAATTGTCGGTTTGTGTGGCTGTGGTTTAGTGGAAAGACGCAACTTTTGCTCGCTTTATTGTTTTTAATAATCTGTCACCCGTAAAGTTGCCCCTCAAACGGCTCAAACTTGAGAAACTATGGATTTTCGGCATTCCCTGTCGGCATTTCCTGACGGTGTTGGCAGGTGGTCCATTGTACTTGACTAGTGCTGTTAATGGAAGTTAAAGCTCTGCGGATGCTTTAGAGCAACAAGAGAGTTAATATTGATATCCCGCTGTTACCAGAGTGATTCCACCCTTTTGTCGCGTACACCAAAAAATATATACTCTCATATTCTCAATATCACCACACTTTCCAAAATACACATCTGCTCGAGGTTACACATATATTTCTATCTATAAATATATATATTTCTATGTGAGGACCCGAAAAACTTTTTTTTAACTCGAAAACTCGTTTTTCACCTTTGGCGATCGTAAGGTTTCATTCAACAAGATATAATCCAATAATTATAAGTGTGATATTGCTTTTTGCCGAATTATATTTCAAATATATCCAAATGTGAGCGGTGAGGTATGTCTGCACAGATATATTCAAAATGTATCTTGGACAATGCATTTTTGCCGGAATATATGCGACGGATAATTGACATATTTTCCTCTTTTCTTTTTGGAGAATTAGCTTTAGGCCAAAGTGAAAATAAAAATTTCCTCAGGGAACAATTAAACTCATGTGACTCATTATAACTTTTTTTTTTTTGGTTCCCTCTTTGTTGTGGCAATTGCGCAAAAATCTTGAATGCTTGAAAGTTTAGTGAATTCACAGAGTGATTTATAACGACATTCTATCTCCACCTTCTCAGTTCAATGGCAGTTGCGAAATATTAAATCACGGAATTACATCCTTCTCTTTATTTTCTTCATCACTCGGTCTTAAAACATTGTAGTACGTACGTTGAGAATAAATAAGTGGGTTAAAATGCACACACGTTTCGAGCGTCTCGTCGACTTCATTTTATTGCCTCAATTTCCCATTTTATTTGTCGAGATAATATTTGGCTAATTTTCAATCTGTCCCGAATTCAATTTTTCTCCACTCTATACGAGATGATCTCCTAGGCGATCTATTAAACGATCGCAATTAGCCAATGTTTTCTTGTCGGAATTCACGTGGCGACGAGTTTTATTCCCGATCTCACAACCGGTTGGAAAAAAAGAGCCAATAGGCCGGGAGAATTCTCTAGAGTTTTGTTCTCTGCCCTAAATTATTAATGCATTTGAAGGGGAGAGCGGTCTCCAGGATTTCGATTACCCGAGCGATTTCGACTGGCTTTCGACTGGCTTTCGACTGGCTTTCGACTGGCTTTCGACTGGCTGTCAAGTGTCAAGTGTCGAGGATGTAATTAAGCAGAAGAAACACGGGTTTTCATGTGTGTTGGGGGGAAATAGAAATGAAAATTCTTCAACTGCTCAATTATTATCTGCTTATCTGCAGTTGGAGGAAAAATAAAATAATCAACTTTTACATTTTTATTTTTCTCAACCTGTTGGATAACTTTAACTGAGTAATCGACTAATTCAACTAAACTCTAGGGTAATTTTCACTGAATAGGGATCGGTAATATTTACAGACTTTTTATCACCGTGTGACTAGATTTTTTTAGGATAAGTGGACAGTAGTCGAAGGCGCGCGCGGCCAGACTGGCTACTACTCTTTCAGTACGGTTTCTCATTGAGGAGTTTTGATGTCGCTGGTACCCCACCGAATGACTACCTTGGATTTTCCTACATTCTGTTGGCGCATGACCGCCCACACACTCTTCTATTCCACCCCATCATTTTTTTTTTCCTTTCTCAACATTTCTTCTCCTTTCTCTCTGTCTACTACCTTTTTCCCCTTTTACCTCCTTTTTTTTTCACTTTTTCAATTTTCCTTATCCTCCCCACCTCCCATCAAGAGACAGTATTGTAAACTTGTGGCTCGATTATTTCCTCTCTTTCATTTTGATTACTTACTTTTTTTATTCTTCACGTATTTCATATTAAATTGTTGTTTTATTTTATTTAAAAATTTTTTCGTTCCATTGATTTTATGCCATTTTAATGACTTATTTATTTGATGCAAAATACATCATTTCTGAATATATTCAAAAGAAGAAATAAACTTTCTTTTCACTGATTGCAATAATTGTCGGCAATAATTTCAATTCCCTTTAACGGAAGATAAACCAAACAAGTCAGTTATTCGGAGAAAAGTCAATGAAATGAATGGGAATGTCTCTCTCTCTCTCTCAACTCTTTATATCTCAACTGTTGAGTAAAGAAAAACTTTGTAGGAGTGCTTTGAAAAGCGAAACACGTAGGGGCCATTAATGATTCGCCTCGGGTCAACCAACCAAACTCAAGTTTTCCCCCTTGCCACCTTTCTTCACTCATGCCACCCCACCACCCCACCACCCCCTCCTTCCTATTGCAAATATACACCTGCGAGAAAGCGATGGGAATGCCTATCGTTACGTCTCTTTTCGCAATTATTTACTTCTTTCATTACTTTTATTTTTCATTTATATCGCAAGTATAGTCGGCCGATGAGTTACACCCTTATTCGTTCATTTTTTTTATAATTTTTCGAAAATATTTTGTATTTTTAAATGGTTACGCTGTGGCTTTTGATGAATATCAAGACTTTACATGATTGTGAAATTTTTTTTACAATCAAGCCCATCTTCATCACCTGCGGGGCGGATTCTGTCGGGATTCTGTAAATTGATTAATCAACGAATCAATAATATTGAGTATCAATTAACCGGTTGTTGGTGAATTGTTTGACACTTTGGTTGGTACACAGCGCTAGAATAATCATAGCATTGTATTAAATAACAAATAATTGTCGGGTGTAGAGTTGCGTGAGTTGCGTGCTCCATGAGTATCTGCTGTATGTTACCTCCACACCCACTACAGTAAAACCGGTAACGTGACAGATTGTTTTTCACGTCTTCCAATTACCATCAATTATCCTTGATATTTGATTAAATTGGGCCATTCAACACAATCTCCACATTCCAGTAAATTTGCTAGAGATTTAGTTGATTCAGCAGAAATAGGGGAGAGACGGCGAAAATGGGACACCAGGCTAAAACCGAACACTTGTCGAAAAGCCTTTTCAAAATCATCAAAATCTTTCCCACTCATTTTTTTTTTTCAGTTAAATTTTTTTTTTCATTTGTCGTAATGTTTGTCGATGGATAAGAGACCGTCTGGGGAATTTCTCGAGTGAAAAGTCCAGCGTTAGTACGTCAAGGTGGCGCCAGTGTGTAAAAAAATTGAAAAAATCGGGAAAAAAGTGGAAATACATCGGAGAATAACTACTTATCGCACATGTGCTAGAATTTTTTTTTTTGCAATTTTTCAAAAACCATTGGTCTTACCGTTCTAATTTCAACCCCATTGAATTTCGAAGGGGATTTATTATTTTTTTTAGACCCATTATGGAAAAAGCAGAATTAAAGGACATAAAGCCCCCCTCTGACACTTCAAAGTGAATGTAAAGCGAAAGTATACAGCAGGAAAATCCATGGACAATGGGTTGGGAAATGAAGTAAATAAGTAGTTCCATAAAAGTACGATACTATGGCTCTTACGTAAGCCATTCATTTACGCAAACTTCATTCTCACCGGGAGCTAAACATTTTCATAACAAAAACTCAGCAATATAGTTGCCTCGTTTATCATTCCATAAATGCGTGCTTTACGGTAACTTCATCCGGTCAATGCTGTGAATAATTTAAAAGTGTGCGGAATATCGAACGAAGCGGTTATTCAACACCATCCGTCCCATCTCTCATTCATTCATTGCAATAACACTCAGTAAATAAACTGTATGTCAGTTATTATTTTTATGTCTTTTTATGTCTTTTTATGTCTTATATATAATATATTTTTCCATTCGAGCTCAGAAAAAGCTTTCATTTCCCAAAGTTGCTCATCCGTTCAAGACAAATATCCACGACTAGAGCAGTATTTTTCTTCATTCTCATTCTGTTTGTCAGTTCGAACCTCATGAAAAATGTATTTACTTTGTGTCTTTGAGTAGAAAATCAACTCATCCATTGTAAAATCACAGGATGGATTTATCAACCACCAATTCCATTCGAAATTGATCTTCAAGTTATGCTCGATATTATCCACGTGAAGAAGTTACGTATCCCGGGGATGAGGTGGAAATTCTAATTTCCCAGTGAATATTAGCCAAACGTTTGTACAAGGATTGAGTGTTTAGGGGGAAATTTGTTCGTGTAGAAGGAAGGATGCTTGTACATGATGACAAGTTACTTGTTTTACGCATCAATGATTTATCGCGGTGCACGAAACAAACTGAATCATTATCAAATCATATGATCCATCGTAATTTACTTAGATTGCCTACTAGTTTCCACCATTCCAAGAATAAATTTTGACGACTGGAAATTACCTGGAAACGTCGAATAAATGTTTACAGTTGGTGGTCTTACAGTTGTTACCATTCCTTTGAGGGCTCAAAGGAATTTTTATCGAAATAAATTGAACATTCCGGGGATATTTCGGTTTTTCCACCACTCGTTTATTGACATTTAAGAATCATAATCTCGTTTATTTCATTAATCACATTGGTTTCCTTTTTTTTCTTTTTTATTCAACATTCAAATATACATAGAAAATTAAAATTTCGTTACAGTCCCATTGACTTAGGTCAATCTTATTAATACTTGTTGTAGAATGATTACATTTAATATTCAAACTTTGGTTGGTGAATGACTTCAATAATTAGTCAGTCGTTATCATAGTTTTTCTATATTTCATTCATGGTTTAGGTAAAATTCTTATTCATTCAACTATATACATGAATATGAACTTGAATAATGAGTCAGTAAATAAATGCAATTTTCCTCGAAAATGAGAGTGAAGATTACCATTGAAGAATAAAAAGGTAAAAAGTATGTCCAGGATATTAACAACTGTAATGTCTCCAAATAATTAATTCGTTGAAAATGTGGAATTTGAAAAAAAAAAAGTGGAAAACGATCAAGGGCCTTTCGACAATGTCATATACATCCCCATTATCAAATCGATCAACATAATTATATGGTTTGAACCTGGACATGGACAACAATGTGAAAATCACTGGTCCAGAGAGAAATTTTCAATCAGCAAAGTGGCCCAGTATGTACACGCAGAATTCTCAAGTTGCACTGCACATCAGAATTCCAATCCCTTCGAACCCGAATTCCATCATTACCGATGTCTCACGTGTGCCGAGTCAATCCTAGAGTGGCTACTAAATGCAAATTCACTCAGATGCTGTACATAGCTAACATTCCAAAGATTACCCAATAGCTCTGGGTCAATTTGGGCTAATGAAATTACAAAATTAAAGAATATTCCAGAATAAATGGGGATCGACTTTTCCTCGATACGGTACATCCGCGGGAGTTCAGTTCGTCCATTAGATTGCATTCGATAGCTGTGAATAATTTTTTATTCTCTTGGCAAGCGGTTGAATTCCGGATGATAAAAGATATTAAATTAAATGGACTCACGAGATTATCACAAGATTTTATTAACCCTCCGAAAAAGAGACCTGTTGCATTGTTCCGTCAACTCGTACCAAATCGATTCTTCCCTTTAAACCAGTATCTTTCTCCATTTCAAAAGCCCATTTTCCATCATTTTGGCTGATAAGAGAGAGAGAGAGAGAAAAGTCCAAGAGCACTAGAATCATGGTGCAAAATGATAGAATACTAGAATTTCATTGGTTCATCACAAATAAAAATAAACAATCTCGTTTTTAAAATCTGAAAATATTCAATGATTGGGGCGACTTAGGGTCATTATGTAAGCACATTGATAAAAACTCATTCATTTTGCGAGCGCACAAGGGAAAATTCACACGTCCCTCAGCAAATTTTGGATTAGAATTAGAATTACTTGGAAATTGTCAGCAGATTTTGCCCGGAATCAGAAGGGGGCAACCCAGAGCTGAAGTAAACCGAATAAATATCCGCGTTGGATGAATGATTAAACCCCCTTCGTGACAATTGCTCCATCATTAATTCATTCGGACATGAAAAAATTATTTTGCCGTGTCAATCATTTCCTTCCATTAATTATTCCTCGAATCTCGTGTTCCAATTGATGGTTTCTCCAAGTCTCTCCTGTCATTTAGACTGTCGCATTGATAATTAATATGGAAGAGAATTCTTCAGCGTTTGTTATTTATTTTGGTGGAGAATTGTTTAAAGAAGGAGATTGATTGTTTTATAAGAAGCAACTTAAAACAGCTGATTCCCATTCTACCCCATACTACCTCACAATAATTGCCAAATATACGGATTTCCAGATACGCAGTTAACTCTGCTTCCCAATTAAGACAATTGGAAAATAAATTGTCGATTTATGAAATCTTTTGGTCAAGCTACCCTATAGAATATCAAATCAGAGATAGCCCGAATCATTCTTTGGATGAACGAAATCTTTGAATTTCACACCATATGTACAACTGGCCGTCAACCTTGTACAATCCTCCAATGATATGCCCTAGACCTGGGTCAAAAGTGTTCCCTGGTTACCGTTGTTCAAGCTTTCCTTCTCCTTGCTATCACTCCCAGTGGTGATATTGGACCTAGATGTCATAGTGATGGTTGTGGTTGATGTCTTGCTTATCAGCAGCCCCCTCTCGCCTTCCTCATCCTCAGTATCACCCCTAGATGTTCCAGATGTCACTATTTTATTGGATTGAAGTCTCTCAGCGCTGGCCTTAGTCTTTTTCGGAAACACGCTGTTTTCAATATGAAGTGTTGCATTGATATCCTTGCCCGCTGCACATGTGCAAGCCTTGAGGAAGCTCTTTTTGAAATTGTCGCTTAAAAAGGCGTAGAGTATCGGATTCATAGCGCTATTGGAGTAGCTAAGGAAGCCCGCAAGGAGAAATGCAGTGATGCCAATTCGCGATTGACACTGCTTGGGTGGTGTATAGATGAGGGCAACCTGAGTGATCCAATATGGAAGCCAGCACAAAACATAAACTGTGATGACAGTTAACACGAGTTTCGTTACCTTCCTGTGAGATCGCTTCTTCTCTTTGGACTTGTTCTTCGGTCCCACTGTCTGCAGCTTTCTGATCACCAGAAAATAGAAGATGAGGATTAGAGTCAGGGGAATGGCGAAACCCAGGACAAAGGAGTAGAGGGTAAAGGTTGTCTGACCACCGTGATCATCAGGCCAGAAGATGTTGCAGCTCATGCCGCTCTGGCTCTCACCGGTGTTTGCATACAGGAATACTGGTATCATGAAGAGGGCTGATGTTGCCCACGCACTCAGTGAAACTATTTTCGATATAAAGGGAGTTCGCATCTTGGGTGATGATATTGGATGACAGACTGCTATGTAGCGATCAGCTGACATAATAAACAGGAAGATACTGCTGGTGAATTGATTGATGGAGGTCGTTGTCATGTAAGCTTTGCACATTATCTTGCCGAAGGGCCAATAGCCGAGACTCATGGTTGTTACTAGGAATGGTATACCAATGAGGAAGCACTCATCGGCAATTGCCAGATTTACTATGTACATGTTCGTTACTGTCTGCATCTTTGAGAAACGAAGAACCACATAGATGACTAGTGTATTGCCAAGAAGTCCAACGACGCATACGATTGAGTACAGAACTTGATTGACAATACCGACGATAGGTACTGTTGCACCGCAGGTCTCATTGGTTATGTTGTGGGGGTCTAGGAAGCTTGAAGTGTTCTCGAAGTTCATGGTGAAGGGGGCTCAAGCATTCCTTCTGATGTTGATTACCTGCAGCAGAATAGATACAATCATAGATTGAATATTCCATTTTTTTTTCCTCATCATTCACCAATCTTCGAGCATTTATTTATTCAACTTTTCTCCACAGGGTTCCATCCTAACCGGTCACCAACTAAATTTCAAATTTGGCTTATCTTTACCGCTATTCATACCCTTTCATAAAACGACAAGTGCCCGTAGAATGCATCTCTCACTATAGATAACGAGGTTGTAAAGGGAAAAGTATAAAATTGACTAGGTGATAAAAATTCTCCTGTAAATGGACAATTCGAGGAATAGATTGTTATAGAATGAAACGAGCTTTATCCGAGAAATAGGTGGACATAATCCATTAGTTGATTGCCATTGATCTTTTTCATTCTTTTTCCACACTTTTGCCAGGAACTTTGAGGTGAAAAGGGTGACAAAGGTCTTTTCATCTTCCTTCAATTCCTCTTGAAAATCGATGGTATATCGATTCGTATATAGGCAAATGGTCATGCGGGCATCACCCTAACATCTATCATATTGCAACATAAAAAAAAATACAAAAATCCTTCCAGAGGGAGCTTTTGATGTAAAATTGTCTGAACGGAATATCAAAAATATTTATAGAACTAAGTGGTCCTCTGGGCTTTTGCCCATTCTCCCAAGGTAGTTCGATTGTTTTATGCAGATTTTATTCCACATTGCTCCCATTTTTTTTTCTTTTCTTTTTATTCGGGGACTATTTGAAATTATTCCCATGAAATTGAAATTTCTGCGTTTGGATGAAATTGTCTCGGGATGTAACAGAATGATGATGGACAGAAATGTCTCACGAAATAGTCATCGTCTTCCATTTTCCGAGATGGATTCAGTGTTTTCCTCCTGTCTTCATTCTTCCTGTTTTTCCATTGAAAACATGAGAGATGAAGGGAAAGAATATCCCACCGGAATTTTCATATTTAAGAAATGTGTAATTTTACTCCGGTGGTTGTCGTTTCTGTTATTTGCCATTACGATCGCTTACGGCATCAAGTCGGAAAATTATTAAAAATAACCGTCACGAGGGGGTCTCAATGAATTTCTTGTTTTTTTTTTTTTTTGTTCTTCTTCTTCTTTTTATCGTCTTATTGGGCATAAGCGCTGGAAGAGGTATAAAAATGGCCCAAGGGATGGTTTCGGTCGTTTCCTCGGTAAATTTCTATTTGTCAACCACCGGGAAGAGAGTGGATTCTAATACAGTTGCGTATCTCATGGATAAAATATGTGCATGTACTGCAAATTTCTTTGGGGATGCGTAGAGACAGTAAAAAATGAGAGATGAACGGAAACAAGGAGCGATAAATTTTCTGTGTGCTTTTTTTTCGGCGGCATTGAAATAGCACATAGGACATGCAGCTCTTTATTTTTCACGCCTCTCAAGAATTATAATGGCCATGGAAAGAGAGAAACGTAATGGGTGAATATAGGGTAGATCGAGATAAAATGACGGGGAGGAATTGATGAAGAACGAAATTTTTATGATTATTTTTATTTCTCCAGCCTTCGATGCTGAATTTTTTGCCATCTCGGTGACAGAAAAATGTCAATTGGCTAAACGAGAAAAACACAATTATTTTCTCCCACATAAAAATAAATACAAATTCTTCAACGAAAAAAATTCAGTTATTAGCTCATTGAAATTATTCTAATCCAACAACTCCAGAAATAACTCTTTCCACATATAAATTCAACCAACGCCAATAAAACAATAATAAATCACAGCGGTGTATCCTGAAAATTCATCCAAGTATTGGAAAAATAAATTGGCGAGTGTAGATGGAGTGAAAAGGGATTACCCAACATTACATTTGTCCAGTGAGAATGTTGTGTTGCTTTTTTTTTTTTTTTTAATTTTTTTAACGGATTGTGTATTGAAAACTGATGTACACATGCGAATCAACACGAATGAGTTTCATGGAGCGAATCAACGAAATGGATTAAACAGACGCATGGCAACATCCTGATAAATAATCCGGCAACGGCAGTGTGTCATTCGCTTCGGGTTTGACCAATCAATGGCCAATGGGATGTACAAATAGTAGAGATGAAGCAAAAAAATAGAAGAAAATTGGAACAGTTATATTTGGAGATAAAGTTTATCAAATTGTTCCTGGAATCTGACACTCTATGACCGGTCTATTTGCGGTATTGGCAGTACATTCACATGAAACGAGGAATTTAATGCAATATAATGAACCAACGCGTCGAATATTGCACATATCTATATAGTGGCATGCAGTCATGGGGAAATTTTATTGGAAAATGTGATTTCTAGGTATGGGTTGCAGCATTCGGATAAATTAGAATTTTCTTCGAAGGAGAAATTAATTCTGACATATATATGCCTTCTCTCGGGGGAAATTGCAAGTTTCAAATATCAAATATAACTCAACGCACGCTAGAATCTACCTCTCGCCATTGAATTCTGGATGTGGAATTAACTGTGAATCGATGAATCGCTAAAAAGAGGTTGGGGTAAGGTCCACCTGTTGTTAATTAACTCTCAAGGGTGAAATTTTCGGAAAAACTGAATGTGAGAACTTCATAATTCAAATAAATTCGAGATTCTCTTGTTTGACGAATAGAAATTGCATTCTTCAAATTGTCTTGAGCATTCATTTTATTTTTCTTTACTTTACCAAATTCCTAAAACTCTGTCATCATCACTTTAATTAAAATTCAACTGAGCAACTTTTCATGGCGTCCTGAGAATCCGAAAAGCCTATGATTGATAACAATTAATCCCTGAAACTTCCCTAATAACTATTAGTTAACCCAATAAATTTTAAACTCCTGATACTGAGTATATCGACATTTTTAAGTTGAAGTACTCGTAATGAAATTTTAATTCACAATCGGTTTGCTGAGTGCTCGCTGCTGAGTCCCCCCGTTAATTATTCAAATCAGCTTGATGCCGAGGATTAATTAATGCCGGTTGAGATTATTCTAACATTGAGGTGTACGTAGTACTCAGAGACAAGAGACACTGTCTCAATATCAGTATTTTTATTCAAATTAAATGATTGACGAATGCTGCTCAAGTCAAATAATGAGGTTTTTATTTTCCTCGAGTACACGATAATTTCCAAAGGGTAGAAAAAGTTTTTGAGTACTAATAAATGACCGTTACAATGAATTGCTGTTTTTTTAATTTAGCATTTTTCTTTTGAGTTTTTTTTTTCAGTGAAAAATAACGAAAGAGATTCTCGAAACGGTGATAATCATACTCACATTGTACATGACGGTATTTTAGAAAATAAAATTATTGCTTTTTCCCCTGGTGGTTGCACAAACATAGAAAGTGTATGAATAGACTTGGGAAAAATATACGATAAATTCACTCGGGTTTTATGCACTTGTCACTCGCCACGTCGTATTTCCTCATGAATCCATCTGCCCGTGATTTTGCGTTTATGGTTTGCCTTCAACTTCTTGGGAATCATAAATTTTAGATTAGGTGTGAAAGATATATGCAAGATATAAAAGAAAACATGATGTTTTTTTTTCTTTTCATTCTATTTGGAATTGAACAAGTCATTTAAATTTCAATTAATTTTCAATAAAAAAACATTAAATAATTTTTTATTAATTGGTTAACTGCATAGATGAAATGTAGGCGAGACCCAGGCAAAATGAGACATAGGATAAAATGGAATTTTCACTTTCAGTTGCCGGCAAAATAATTATCAAGATAATTGATAAAAAAAATATAATGAGCATTGGCAGACGATAATAAACACCCGGAGCTCAAAGTATTTAGGTGCACTGCAGGCCTCTCCATTATTATACGTGCAATTTATATCCATCGCTGATTAGATTGCTCATGGGTCCGTTAAGTATTCGATCGATTGTGGTGTATAAGACTACACCAGTGCCAATGGACATTAAATTGAGACATTGGCTACCGTTGATCGACACCCTTTCGTCATTATCTGTACCTACTACCACCAACACCACCAACACGATCCAATTAGCTTTCTATGTTGTTATAATGCCGCGAGGGATTAATTAGTCCTGATTACAACAAAAAACTGCTCACTTTGATCGAACAATATTATTATTTATCACCCCCACTTATTTATTCATTAAAAATGTAATATGTAATTTTTATAAATTACTGAAACAAGTCATGTGGTAATTCATCTAAAAATAGTTCATCTATACACACTGCAGAGGTTTAAAGCGAAATTCCGACAATAAAAAAAATAAAAATCCCCATTTTTTCGAATATTATCACTACAATAATTAACGAGGAATTATTATTATTCGCTAATTCGAAAATATGTCTCAAAAATGTACAATCTGGCGGAAATATTTTTGCCATCAAAATTCAAATACATTAGCTTTATTTTTATGGAGATTGGATTTATATAATGACTAATTTCATGGGCCAGTTTTGTGGGTATATATTTTAAAATATCTATGCACTAAGAGTTCTATCAATTTCACCCGAAAATCTGATAAAATTTTCCAGAGACCTCTGGCATTGACTGGATTTTATCGTAGAGTTGTTAATGGAAGGGAACTTTTCATCTCGGAGAATAAAAACCGGATCAACTTGAACGGGAAGCCAAAAGTTGAACCTGTGTGAGGTTGCGATAAAATTTAAGATAAGTTGCTACTACTGCGGTTTTGCCGATTAAACGGTGAAAGGAGAGGATGAGAAAAAGCTAGAAATTTCGTCGAAAGCTAGAGTTTTCTCTTCTTTCTTTTTTTTTTTTCTTTTTCACTGATAATGCCATGCAAATTCGATTCTCTCTGCGTCCACTTGCATTGGCAATACCCATTGTATCAGTGAAAACTTGGACGTAATTTCCCATAATTTTCCATCTCTTCTGTTTCGTCAGATCCAGCATTATTTGCTGTTATCGGATGTTGAGATCGAGCCGAGTTGGGCTAGAGTTCTCATTGGACATTGGTGATTTTCAACGCGTCCATCCCTCCTTGACCTTATCCTTGCATTCAATCAATATCGCCGAGGA